AAAATATTTTCAAGGATGCTAATGGCTTCCCATAAATTTTAAGTCCAACTTAGAGATAAGTTCAACTTAGGATCTTTGTGAAACACCCCCCTGGACTTACATTTTGTCATGTTTCCTGGGTGCCTGTCAACGTCGAGCCCTGCTTATTCTCGTTTAGCTATACGATAAATCCTGGTAGGCTGAACGAACGCAGGGTTCTTTTTCTTCCCCAGGAAGTCGAACAGAGCCTTTGGTTTTACGTTTTATTTCCTGCCCAACGCTGGTAAAATGCCTATTGTTGTACTCTCGATGCCCTTGTGCAATGTGACAGGAAAGCAAACGTACTTGAGCTGCAGGCAGAAAGTGTTTTTTTCCTTCTCCTTTTCCAATCCAAATGGCTTCAAAGTTCTTGAAATCATAAATTTTGCCAATGAATGGCTTTTAGAATGACAATGGAGAGGTTGGAGAGGCTCTTGAGAATGTTAAATAAATGCCGTTCCCACTTCTGTAGAACTGTGAGAAAAATATCCTCGCAAGATTTACCTGTGGAAGATTAATGCACAGATCTATACTCCACCAGAATTTCAGACGAAATCCCAGACAAGATCTTTTGACAAAGTGTTGATTTAAACTAGTATGGGACAAACAACACACAAAATAAAAACAACAAACACACAAACAAACATGAATCAGACAAATTCCTAAAAAAGATTGCATTGAATGAGAGGTTTTATTATTTTTTCCTTTGTGTTTTTATTGAGGAAATGAATTGTACAATTTTCATTCATGTACAGTGTACATTTATATTGTGTGTGTACCTTTACATGTACAGTACATGTGCAGTATTCATGTGGATGCATACATGTGCACAGACAGGTTTTCTCCAACCAACCATTATTTTTGAAAGAAGCTCATTACTTAGTGTATTTGTTGGTGTATTAAATTGATTTCTATAATAATTTGGACTAAAATTTTGTCAGTCTGAAATATTTTGAAAATGTTTAGGCCTATAGATGCAAAATTAGTTTAGAAATGCTGGATTGTTGAGTGGGAATGACCCCATTGGAGGCTTATTTTCCTGGTGTCGGGGAGGAAAATATTGACTCTTGCCCAAATCAGAATGACATATCCCTTTGACCTCTCTTTTCTTTCCATGACCTGTCTTTTCTTTGCCTAACCTGTCAGTTCAAAACTACTTATCAATGGGACACTTTTCAGTCCATATTATTGACTTGAACTTTCAAACAGGGTTTCATGCTGATTTGAGTTCAGTCTTATTTGAGTTCAGTCTTCTGTAATTCACAAGGCAATGAATGTTACAAAAGAAAATGATTGGTTCGGGATAAATGGTACATAACGTACATGTACTGTTGTATGCTGAAAAATAGGAGGGTAGTTTAGAAAAGGGTGCAGTTTATTTGTATGATTCTCTCCTGTTTCTCAAAGTGCATGGCTAAGGTCAAATCAATCAATCTACATGTACATATACTTTTAGAATCAATATTTAAACTTTTGAAAGACGTGTATTTACAGCTCTGAGCGCTATACTGTGACTAATTAATTGTACACATACAGTGTACATGTACATGTAGGCCTACAACATGAACTTTTAAATGAGAATGGCTTAGATACATGTACGGGGGAGATATTGCTACACTGTCTGTAGATTAAAAATGACACATTTTCCCTGCAGTAACATCTTAATGTAATCGCTATTAAACAAAGCACCTGATTGAAATTCTTCTTGAATATTGTTTACAACTTCTTTGAAAAGTGATTACAGGGTAACAAAAGTCTGAAGCTTGGTCTAGCGTCTTTGTCCAGCCAGCCCTGTGGCAGGTACAGTGTAGGAGGATCGGTCACAGATGGATGAATGTATCTTGGAAAAGTGCAATCAGAAACCATGAATCATATTCGTCATCCATTGGGCTGTCTGATGCAGTCATGGGCCAAATATTTGGTGACATTGATACATGTACATGTACATGTGACGTGTAGTTGGTTTTTGAGTGAGCAGTGTTCACATTATTGGGAACTGAAGTTAGATGTTATCAAGACTACTGTAACTAATATTCATACCCCTTGTACATTTGTTTTGATGTGTTTTTTTCTTTCCATAACTCCAGAAATAAAGTTAGACTGGTTGAAGAAGGGCCTTTGTTTAATACTTGTATAGGTGGTTTTTGAGTGAGCAGAGTTCACATACAGATAATTGGGAAATGAAGTTGAATTTGATTTTTCTTTTCTTGTTTTTCCCCGTAACTCAAGAATGAAAGGTGGACCAATTGTATTAGGGCCTTTGTTTAATATTTGTATGCAAGCTTTAATATGTCACATTCTCAAGAAACATCATTTGGTACAAACCAATTTTTTCACATATACCAGACTACATTTTCATAAGAAATTACAAAACTTGGTAAGGGTATGAATTTAATTTAGTTGTTAATCGTATACAGTCAATAAATGGGAGTGAAGTTGGCATGTTATCCAAGTTTTTCTGTATTGTCCCAAAGGGCCTGTCACAAACACAGCGATTGTCTATTGTAAAAGTGCAATCAGGGCAGTATGAATCATTCACATCATCATTTTTTGTCTGTCAGATGTGGTTATATTACAAGCCAAAAATTTTATGACAAGGGGCTTCTATTACAACAAAAAACCAAAACATGCTCATGTACTGTGGGCCTACTGTACATGTATATGAACGTGTAGAATAGCAGTGTTCACACACAATATAATGACATCTGTTCAGAGCCAGAACGCTGTTACAATGTAAATGTAACTATTGATCTGTAGAAGTTTAAAAGTTTTGAGCCCTTCCTGCTTCACACAACTAGGATTTTACATACTGTACTGTATGCTAGCCTCTAGATAGATCTTTGTCACTCATGAATTAATTTAGCATGATCTGATTCAAATACTCAGTCTGTGCAGGAGGATAAGTCATCAACACAATGATTGCATCTTGGAAAAGTGCAATCAGACACCGTGATTCATGCTCATCCTCAATTTCTTGGTCTGTGGCTGTGGGCCAAACTTTCCTGGAGTCGCTGACTGTGGGTTTGACATAGACTTATCACACTGTCTGTCTCTATCAAAGTGCTTTATAAATATTCTATATATTCATTGGTTACTTATGATATCATAGTTCTTATGAGAGAGAGAGAGAGAGAGTGTGTTCAGAATTACATTGATCTTCATGTACATGTACACTAAAGGCATTGTTTAACAATGTTTTCAGTTTTACAAATCTAAGATGCATGACCCTCCATGTTATCAGTGTCAGTGATATATGGTGAAATAATGAAGCTCTAAAAAATTATGTTTCAAAATGATCATAAAGGCAAGGGATTCCTGACTGACCTAAAGGTTTATAACTATGATTGCAGCATGAGGTATTAAAATCAAGGATTTTGTTTAGAATCTGAGACAAAGACATTTTTTATTTTTTTTTATTATTTGAAAATATTTATACAGGATGACAATATCAACCATGGCTGTTTTTCATATTGGTCCTGTATATATACATACATGGTATAATACAAACAATATATACAAACTATCAGTGAATACAAATATCATTGAAATATGCTAAACATGAATAGATTACATGGATATTGAATAATTTAACATTTTATAAAATAACCACCAACTGGACACATAGATTTACATTCAAAGGTTTACCTAGAATCACAAAAAGAATGATTTGAAACAATGTAAGAAAAAACTGAACTAACAAACTTGTATTTATCAAAGTAGGGTAAAAAAAGATATATATTCACACATCCATGAAGATATTGGTTATTTAGAACATTAATGAAAGTACAATCTTTTATAAAGGTTTTTAAATGAAGAAATAGATGTAGAATTTTGTAAGTTAATAGGTAATGAGTTCCAGATAACTCCTCCTGAGTACATAAGACTGTTCTGAAAGCATTCTAGATTAGGTTTTGGTAATATTACATTTGTTTTGTCAGCGGCTCTAGTATTTAATTTATGTCTGTCGCAGACCATTTCAATAGCATTACACATCCAATCTTTTTAACAAATACATGTACATAGACATACACTCTATGTTTCACACCTTCATATCCATGTGCATGCCGCATAGTACACATGTACACAAGATGGCCTACATGTTCATGTGCACATATACATGTGCACATGTACCTCCCTTAGGACAGGGATGCCTCACACAGGAAACCGAATTGGAACATACGTCCATTTCATTGACAAGAATTACAGTTTGATAAAATTCAACATGTGCATACTGCATACCGGTATATACAGTACATGTAGTGTTCATTTACATTTTTTTGGCATGCGTTGGGTGTGAAAATGTGTGCTGTACATGTAATAACTTTCACAATTTTGTAAGTTTGCAGAATGGGATAATGGTAAAATTTACAATCATATCTTAAGCAGCATTCTAAAAGAAAATATTTTTGGTTTCGTTAATTATCTACCAAGCTGCTTCTTTTGTACTTAATTGCTCGTTATTATTGAATATGATATTTATAAAAAAAACCTCTACTTGTGAAGTAGGGATAGTTTAGTTCCAAAGAATGCAATACTTGTACATTTAGTTGAAGATATCGTGCAGTGTAGATTTGGTTTCGTTAATTATCAAACTGCTACTTTCATACTTAATGAATATGATATTGATAATATCTTAAGTTTTTCTTAACTATACTTGTAAAGTAAGGAGATTTGGTCCGTAGACTGCAATACATTTATAAGAGGAAATCATGCAGTGTAGGTCTATATAAAGTACCGGTATGGACTATGGAGTTCTTCCTAAACTCCATGAGTCATGAAATGTACTTGTATACCGATGTCTATATTGCGAACACCGTCGCTTTCACTCTCTCTCAATCTCTACTTCTCTACAATACAGCACCCCTAATTTAATTTTAAAGCCCTAGCTCTTTCTATCTCTCCCTAATATCCAGTCAATCTCACTTCCTCTCTGCCTCGAAGCTCATATCGAACGCTCCCTCTCTTTTCGTTCCTATCTACAGATCCGTACACGAGGACCAGGCATGGCGTGGAAGTGCCTACTTGTTCTGACGATAGCGTTCAGCGCGGGCCAGCTGTACAGGACGTATGCTCAAACGTGTAAGTAAACGTAACTTGACCCTCAGATGTGGTTACCGGTCTTCCTAAATACATGTGATATCAACCAGTCTGTCTAACTGCTGAACAATATTTAACTTGTTGGAAACTGAGTGAGGACTGACTTTGTACGAGGTTCATGGGAAATGGTAGACCTGTACATTCAAAATATCCTCAGGGGATTTACAGTATATATGAAGCTATGGGGCTGAGATGTCCTATCTTTATACAGTCAAACCTGCTTTAGTGACCACCTGTCTACAAAGACTACATTTTTCTTTCCCCAAGTGCAAATGGTTTCTCATTGAAACATGTACTAAAGGAACTCGTCTACAAAGACCACATGTTGTGTTTCCCTTGGGCAGTCGCTATAGACAGGTTTGAATGTATTACACTAGAATTCTACCAGACTACGCGTAGCAGTATGCTTCATACTCTTGTGCTGTGTGCTTGCCTGACATAGCAACATGATAACATTGCTCCTCACTGAAGCCGAGTGGGAGAAGTTCAGTTTAGAGATGACTTGGGTATTTCAGGCACAATAACACTATGCACATGTGCATTAAAGATAAAGTTGAGTTCTGGTCATGCGATTGCTTTGTGTACTAAAGAAACGTTGTGGAATTGATCAGAAAAGGTTGATCATCTAGCAATTAAGTATTGGTGTTTACTGCAAGGTTCTTGAATCATCAAAATGATCAGAAATTTGGCCCAGTCTTGATAATTAAAGTTACAAGCACTGTACACAGAAAGATGTATATGGGAATTCACAAACATGCAGCATTATAATTTGTGCTGATTTTTATGATGTTACATGCCAGTTTTAGAATATAGGCATTTGAAGAGCCATGCTTTTCAGGGAACATTTTTTATCTGCTGTTTAAGCTTCCACACTTGCATAATACAATGATAACGCTCACAAATTAGTTTTCACGTCTTCCCAGAACTCAACCTTCTCTTTAAAATGTTGTACCGTACTCACAAACTCTATCAGTTAACAAGAAGTTTTCCAAGACATCAATTGAAAGTGCTTCTTTCAAATGAAAGTACGTGGGCATTGTGTTTGTGATACATACGTTTCGATGATCCATTATATTTCAAATCAGCGCTAGTTTTGATTGGCATTATAACAATTCAGATCTAGGAATCTGTCAAGTGCATAAAAAGTGCAGCCGCATGCAAACAAAAACACATTGTACAGTGGTTCGCAAGTGTGTTAAAATCCTAACTTTTCAGGGTTATAAAGTACTAAATGAGCTTTATTGAGTAATACTGGTACATGTTACAGTTCAAATAATAGAAAACTATTGTCCATCCTCAAATAATCATGGAGAAATTTTTTCAAAAGTTTGTTCTGTTCATTTTGATAGAATTCAGAGGCATTACAAATGAAACTCCTTGTTGCGACATATGCAAGTACTTAGGGCAGTTTTCAAGTGAGATATTGAAGCGCTATTTCATGGATCAAATTGTTTGAGAAGCTTGCTAAACCTCTTCTATGTATACATTTATGTACATGCATGTACAGTATGTAGGCCTCTAGTGTGGCTCTACATTGTGGCAGAGAAACATTGCCCATGACAGTACGGGATCCGCAAATGAGTTTGCAGGATTTTCGGCTCCCGTCTATTAATAACTCTTACACCCCTGGCACCCAGACCATGCGTAGGAGTACCTACACACACTGGCAACGCTCCCTTCCGAAGCCCCCTCTAGAGTGCGGACATGTAACGCCATCAACCAGGCGCTGCGCGATACCTGTATTATGGCTGGCTGGAAATGTTTCATATCCTGATAGGCTAGCACTTGAAGAGATGGGAAGGAGAGATATACAGTGCGTCCCAGAAAAAACAAAACCGAGAATTATTGATGTTTTGTCATAACTTAATCACATTTATAATTAATAAATGACACACATTGGTAAAGTTTTGTTGATGATCAGCCATGTATGAAGTCTTTCATCTACTTTGTTGTTAGGGCAGACAGCCAGTTTTAAAGTCTTGAATAAAATGAAAGAGGAGGACCTTCGCTTTACAAATATATGTGTCATTTATTAATTATAATTGTGATTAAGTTATGATAAAACATCGATAATTCTCGGTTTCGTTTTTTTCTAGGACGCACTGTATAAGGGGCAAGGTCTCCGCTAACATGCAGGCACAAGGAATAGAACACTGTTTACGTACATGTATCACCTCACCTAGCTGCCAGCAGGAAGGTTTTGACAGTCCTGTATTGTCAATAGCAGTATTACTGAATGAGGAATTCACTACTGACAATAACAATGCAGTTTGCAACATTTCATTTTCGACTTGGCTCCATATTCATGTGTAATGCAAGTTCCAGGATCACATCATCATTACCAAAATGGGGCATCATTGTAAAGGGGAATAAATAGGCTTTTCAATGGTACTACATGTATATCAGATATGATAATACAATAACAAAAGAGATATAAACGCTAAAACTTGAATTGCTGAACTTTTTTGAAGGGTTTATATTTGAAATACTCTTTTGGTTCAATTATTGAATTTTGATAACATTTGTTTAGAGGTTTTGTTTTTTAACTTTAAAAAAACACAACTTTATTGGCAAGCAAGCACATTCAAGATCAGGGTTTCTTTAATATTGGCAAGTTTCACATACATTAACTGCACATGTACGTACACTAACAATGTTTGAAAATCCCCATTCTGAATGATAGGGAAAACTTAAAATGAATCCATCACTCATATCCTAAATGCAGAAACATGTCACTTGTATAAACATCATAAATCAAACAGAATTAAATCGTATGATCAATCAAAACTATAAAAAAGTTTTAAGTTACTAACATGTTCATATACATTGTATATCTGCAGTGAGCCAAAGGGGCATTGAACCTGTGTTCAATTGAAATGCGTAAAAGGGGAATCATACCTTGATAGCGAACTTCTCGCCGAGAAAGCGGAAGTGCAGACTCTATATTCTGTTAGTACATTGTGTATGTGAAAACTGTATTTGTCCCGAATTATCTTTTTTGAGAATGTGACATATCAAAGCTTACGTCAAAAAGTATTCAGTAAATGCCCCGATTCAACCAGTCCACCTTTTACTCTTGAGTTACGGATAACACCGAAAGCATCAAATTTACAATGGGTATGAATAATTTACATACATGCAGTTGGTAACTGAATCATTCCCGTACCAGCATATTTTTTTTCTATTCATACCCGTTATTGAATATTGACAAAAGGGATTAAAAAAAATAAGACTTGGAATGGTTTCAACATCCTTGTATTGTATTCTCGATGGCCTAGTTACAAGTACATCCTTCTACATGTACCTGGGTTTATAGTACTTTTATGTAGGGCTTACATGTGAAATTATGTACATTGTAGTACATTATATACATTGTAGCTTCAAGAGAGGGACAGAAGAGGAGAAAAGGGTGGGGTGCGTATCAGGGCGTGGTCAATACTTCTGATGAAATATTTAAGCGTAAGTTTACAGTTATAGCCCATAGATTTACATTAGGAGCTACAAAGTACAAACACATTTATACACTGAATATACATGTAATTGTAATGTACACATTTGTATTGCAGCTTTAAAAGTCATAAATATATGAAATATTTATATTCTTACAAAAAGGTTGAATATGGTTATTAATTAACAATTCACTGTGCTCATTTGTCTTCACTATTGTGTTTTTTCCGTACTTGTTATGATGTTTATTTTGTTTTCATATTTTAAAATAGGATCATACTTACAGTTGTACCAAACTTTTTATAATCCAACCACGTTTTCATAGTAATTACTCTTTTGTTCTTTTTATATTTGCTTTTACTGTACCATGTTATTGTTTTAGAATATTTTTGTCATGCTATATATATGTACATGTTTTTTTAAATGAAGATATGAAAATAAAATTCAATTCTATTCAATATAAGTTATCATCTTCCTCTATGAGTCATACATTTTGGAGAGGGCCCAGGCTTGATTAGCACAATGTGTCATTTTCTAGTCCCATTTATCAGCTTTTATCATTGTTTTCGCGCTGTGACATTTCTTTAACATATTATAAAAAACATATTTTGTACACAGACGTCGTTATTTTTGGTGGCTAAAAATTCACCCAGTCAGTCAATTAAAGCAAATTTCTCAATCTCTTTATACCTGTATTTGAATCAAATACAATGTAGACCATGAAATATGATGTTTTGTTCTTCTTTATTTTTATTCCCTAATTGGTCTTTCAGCTTCTAGTGCATGCAGTGATGCAAAGACGTGTGGGGAATGCATATCATTGGACTCATCGTGCGGTTGGTGTACGTTACTAGTAAGTATTTCAAGAGAGGGTCAAAGGTCATTGGTTTTATGTACCATGAAAATAATACACAAACAAACAAGGATGTATGGTACACATACACTCTCTGCAAATAGCACAATTTGTAATCATCCAATAATCATTCAGATTGGCTTGGAAATATAAATTGGGGAGGAAGTTAGAAGAAATTTTTTAAGTTGAAATACACAGATATACCTGTAGTCAACTTCTTCAAACATTCATTTTCATGATCACCAGTTTTAAACAGTTAATCTGCCGCAATGATAATGAAATAATACTGTTTTCTGCTTTTATAAATCTAAATGTAAAAAAATTTCTATAAAGTCACATGTCTTTTTGTAAATGCACTGCGTTCAAGCTCATGCATAATTTCAGTAGCCGCTGAAAAATACAGATGATAAATAAATAGATATTCTAGTGTCATTCAGTTGAAAAAAAACCCATTTTTATAAGAGAGAGTCTCAAGTTGAGAGTTTGATCCAATTAAATGCATTTATTCATTTCCCATATCATTCAGTATATGAGAAATCGGTATCAAACCAATTATACATCAAACAGTTTTTAGTTAAGTTTTATTAATTTGTATAACCAAGCGATTATAATTCATATCTGTTACCCTGTCATAAGTGGTACAGTCTTTGTACAAAAGTATCTACAAGTACTTACTAACGTTTGTCGATGCTTTTCACAGATCTTTAATGATTTTCCGAGAAAAATATCTTACCAATTATACATCAAACAAGTTGTAGTAGAGTTATCTTGATTTGTATAACCAGGCAATTGAAATTCCTATCTGTTACTCTGTGATAAGTGGTATAGTCTATGTACAAAAGTACATGTATCTACAAGTACATACATGTACTTATGTTTGTATTACTTTGTAGATACTTTTCACAGATTTGTTATTGATTTTCTGAGAAAAAAGCCCGCCTTTTCGGAGCTGAAATAAACACTCATACAACCCTAGTTTTCTCTTTCAATCAAACACTTCTGTTGGGTGTTCATTGTAAAGAGTGCTTACTCTACCAACCTTTATATGTAACATTATAATAAATAATGCAATACAAAAAAAAACACTCAAACTTGCAACTGCCATCAATATCAGGTGCGTTTTATCAAGGATTATTTTTTCCTTTCGTTGAAATTCTTGGAACTTCCAAGAAAAGAATGTCATTGTGATCTTTAATAAAGCAAGGATACTCTCCTAACCATACTACTGTAGGCTACACTTCTGATATAATAACATCCAAAAAAGAAAATATTATGTGTTGCCACTTATTGTTTTGCTCACATACAATGCAAAACTCATGTACATGTAGTTCGTTTATATGAAATAGTAATAAATTGTTCAATGCAGGAAATTGTCAATAAATTTAGAATTTTTTAGTTTTTACATCAAATATATACTTCATCAAGATACCATGTATTATGTTTTTTTTTATATTTACTTGATCTAATAAACTTCCTAGAAATTGATATTACAGGTAATTTTATGTAAACTACACTGTAGCTTATACAATCTAAAACCCATACTCCATAACCCACACTTCCTGTTGACATATCGCCAACACAAACAAAAATGCATTGTTTCTGAAATATGTGTATCTATGATCTGCCGTATAACAATGTGCTATAATTCATTACAATGCAAAGAATTATTAAGAAAACCAACTTCCATTCCAACCTCTGCTCGGTGAACATTCAGGATGTGAATAAAATAGCAATTAGACTTTGTTTCAAAGGAAGTTATGAGTCAATATCCAATCTGACTCTGAGGTTTCTTTTCGCTAATGAGCCGATTCGGAGCTCCCTAATTTGATCTTATTGACACACCCAATGAAGCATTCATCATCCATTCCCTGTAAGGCCTGTCCTCATCAGCTTGAGTTTGCCAAATAACCCGCTATTTTCATTATTCCATTCGCAAATTAACCAGTTACTTAGCGTCCTCATCAGCCCACAGTTGCAATTAGCGTGATATTTGGTCAAGAAAATATCTTGATCTTATTTCCAGAATATCCCGCTATTTAGGAAATAGCGGGCTACATGTTATTTGCGCCCGTCCGAGCTACTTTGTGATTAGCGTATTGGTTTGGGATAATTTCTTGAGTCTGAAAATAGCGAGTTATTTGGCAAACTTGAGCTGATGAGGACAGGCCTAATGTGTGGTGTGGGCTGTTTACAGCACAGTATGATGACAGCCACTGTCTTCTTTTTTGTCTTGATCATGCCACATGCACACATGTAAATAAGGGTTCCACATGAATTGGCAACTTCAAAGAAAAAAACTCATTATAAAGTGGTTAAGAATTGTGAGAGCCGGAAGGTAATTTTTGGTTACCGGTACATGTAGGTGTTAATTTCCAGTAAAAGCTACATGTACATGTAATGCATTGCATTGCCTCCACTTTTGATGCACACGTATTACAGTACGAGATTTGTCACAATTGCAGTCCATAGTACAAACACCCACAAAATATTCCGAGAAGTCATTATATGTCAATTTATAAACAAATATGTAACTTTTGAAAGAACATAACAGTTTTAAAAGAAATATTTTGTGACCAAAAGTGTATTTCCAAATATAAATGGTTTTCTTGCACTTTAGATACTCAGTTTTGTTTAATGTTTCTTTTCACATTTCACATCATCATCACTTCATAAAATGAAATGATACATCATAACGTAGATTACAAATGCAAAATATTGTAAGATTGTTACACAAAAGACAAAGATGGTTCATGATACACAGTGTATTTTTACAGTCTAAATGTATATCAGGTATTTCTAATAAGTGTGTACTGATGCATGCATGTAACTTTAATAAAGAGATAGTTGTCACTTTGTCTGGCTTTGATATTGAATCGCCAAGACGCTCCGATCGTGCTTCCCTAATCAAAGTCAATTGCCAAACCAGATTCCCTGCCGAAGGCTCGTTTCTAATGACTCTGTCACAGAATGAGATCATAGAGACAAAGTTCCTTGATGCGTAGACCAGACTGACCTGCCATTCACACCAGAGAAAATTTATTTTAAAATGTATGGAAACAAAATTAAGGAATTATGTTGTGCAAAAGAGACATAACACAGAATATGAATATACAGTAATAGAAAAGAACAATTGTTTAATTGTTTGAAGGAAAACCAGGGAAATAATTTACTCTGTATATGATCAACCATAATACAGGTATACAAAGTATGTTACCAGTATATATTATATTTACTGTTAGCTTATGTTGTGGGCACTTCTAGCACTAGTAATTCCAACATATTCTTGCAATCGATCTTGCCCGGTTATTGCAGTTTTTGTTACATTAGATTGTCACAGGCTATGGACCCCATTTTTTAATCCCATTTTTTAAAAGAATACTTAAACCTGTCTTTGGCTTGGTATTCTACGTTTTCGTTATTTGATGTCTGGGCCCTGTAGAGTTGAAATCAATCGCAACTATGTACATACATGTAAGAGATAGGAGACTGCGAACTTGAATGGAGGAGTTGTGATTGATTGGGATCAATCGCAACTCTAAAGACTGGTCTACATGTACATGTATGTAGATTAAAAAATGAATCGTACACAAAGCACTAATGATATTTAGCTGTGTACTTCATATGTATACTATAAATTTTGCTGGTGTAAATGGGGAGTAAGCCAGTGCCTTATACCTCGTTACACACATGGTGTCTGTATGTCTCATTAGAGGTGCCTGGAACCCGTGTCAGACTTTAAGAAGAAAGATGTGTGAATGTTCGCGTTGTAATTTTTTTTTCAAGGATACCCTACATCAGTAAATTCTGTGTGTACAATGTTTGTACACTGTAGGCCTACTGCAGTACACCCAGTTTGGAGATTATATAGATTTCTTTAATTTATTCCTTTTTCTTCATTTTTTCCCTCAAAATTGTGAAACAATTCACAGAGAAACAGGACATACTGGTACATACATGTAGATGCTGCTTGTAAGTGTCGGCTTGCATGGTGATGTAGATATACAGAAAGATTACCGAGAGTCCTTTTCAGGACTCCTCAATCCTCCCTCTCTCTCACATGGTGCACCCGCAAGCATACTGTATACTGGTACATGTATTATATAAAGGGTGCCTTTTACGGAGGCGTCTTTGTTTATTGCAAAAGTCACCGGACTGTAGATCGAATGATTCACAGTTCAAGACTTAGCCAGAGCACTGATGCCTAATGAAACTTAAGACAAAATCTATATTGCTTCTTTCAACCCAGATTTACATATGTGTAGGGAATACAAAGAATTTCATCGAATGATGTTATGTACAATATACCTCTGCTCAGAAAGTGCATGTACTTCATTTGCTACATGAACTTGTTATCTAAGCTTGCATAATTGGACAGCTTTCTTGGAAGATTTGGCTGAAAATTCCCTGTATTCTACTAAAAATGTAATTCTTTGAAGAAGAACAAATAGAAGACCAGTAGGCCGATGTTAACATGTTGGTAGGCCCCACTAATGTGTCACTGTGAAATAACTACCAGCAAGTCTTTCATTTTAGCTGACAACACATGCAAAGAGTAACTCTTCCTGTATAATGTATTGCAGTTAAAAAAAACAATCGGTTCTAGTCAATTGCACCTATTCACCACCACCGACGAAGCGCTGATCAAAAGTCATAATCCAAATTAAATGTATATAAAGCTTGAAATTGAATGCACTATATTCAGCAATTATCACTATTCAACACAAGCTAGATATGTTCGTGTATCCTATATTCACCAAAGTGACAATTCTGCCCAATTGTTAATAAACTTTTTTATCTTGTGTATACATGTATCATGACTTTTTCACAAATACATATTGGTAGTACTTAGTGCTGAAAAATGTTTCAAAATAATAAGTGGGTATTAAAGTCCAAGCTGCATGGATTGTACCACATACGCACATTGCCGCAAATGTATCTACATGTATAAGTATTACTTTGAAGTTTACCTCGTGACTTTATCAAGCTGGTAGTCATAACATGTAGAGATTAAATCAAACAAAACATCAAATAAAATCATGTTTTATGTCAAAATATGATCATAATTCCGTAATACAATTGAGTAATACTTCTTGACTATACGTTGTATTATGAGACACACCTTTGCACCCATGACTCATACATGTACATGTAATACAGTGTAACCTGGATATAAAGACCACTCAAGGGAAACATGAATAATGGTCTTTACAGGCAGGTGGTTATGTACATGTACAGGCTCCTGCAGTACAGCTTACAACGAGAAACCCTTTTCATTTTCAAGGGAAATGATAAATGTGGTCTTTATAGACAGGTTATCTCTAAATAGGTGTTTGCTACTTAAAGCAGGTTTGACTATTTCACCAAATGTGTAGTATAGCCTCTACTGTAGATGTGTGGTTTAATAAAGAAATTGTATCACTTGTAGTTTAAATCTTACATTTTTGTTTATCTCTTCTATTTCAAAGAATTATACAGATGACACAGGCAACCCGCAGTGTGATTTAGCAAGCAGCTTGAGCCAGAGAGGATGCTCACAAATCGTTGATCCAGACAGTACTATGGTCGTTAGGATGGTAAGGCAATAACTTGTATTATATTCCATGTTCAAAAAATCTTACGCTACGATTGGTCAAAAGTAAATCATGTGATGAAAGATAGTTCGCCCATCATTGATGGGAGAAGAAAAGTTTGTTGCACTGTGTAGATAGTAGAACTATCTGTACACAGTGCAACACACTTTCACTGAAGACTATCTACACAGTGCAACGTATTTTCACTGAAGATTGTAAACGTTGCGTGTACGTACGTTAGTAACTGCATGCACTGTACGCATCGTACACCGTTTGCTAGCTGTTAATTGATGACTAATTGCTCTAAAATGACGAAAGAAGTGAAATGTTTCCGATGTGGAATATAAAGCAAATAATCACCTGTTGGTTTCAGGTGATGGCAAACTATCAATTCCTCTGCAATCTGAATGTATACGCTGTCTTTCCTCGGCTTCACTTCGGAAAGATAGCTACATCCAGATCGCCTCGGAAGTGATAGTTTGCCCCATCACCTTCACCAACGGTAATTATTTGCTTATTAAATGCCCTGGTCAGACCTCACCGATAATGAATATACATGTTTGTACACATAATTAAACAATAACAATGATGACAAAAGGGATCACATTGTTTAAAATAAGTTTCAAATATTTATTCTTGCAAGATATCAATCTTTTATAAACCTGTTGATTCATTTATCTATAATATTATATGCCAGGCACTGTGTTGTGCATTGTTTCCTTCTGTATTGTTGTATATTTTCATGTCCTTGTAATCTGGTATTGATATTTATCTTTTATAAATCATATATCTTTAGGTCGGTCACTTATAAGGTTCACTTCCTTTCTGCCTGCTACCTGCCAATCAACTTTTATATTTGATATATTATATTATATTTTAAAGAAAAAAAACATGAAAAACACTGCTAAAATTATCTATTTCTGTTTTTTTTTTAATTAAAAAATGCCGGCGGCCATCTTGAAAAATAGCCCAGACTATCAGGGAAAATGTACCAAGCGGCCATTTTGAAGAAGAAAAAAGGGCCTCCTTCCTATTTTTCAAAAAGTCAGGATGCTAAACATGTTTTTGTTTTTATTTGGCCCAATGTATTGCATGTATTTTCATATTTCAAACATTCATTTTTCTCTTGCTATTGATCCAACTTACTTCAAACTGTCACCATTTTGTTTATCTTGTTTTTTTCTGCTTTCATAAAAATTAACTGATTGATAGGATAGGATTGCCCTTTAGTTTAAAAGTGACAGGATACATTTGTAGGTATTCCGCACCCAGATCCTGTGTTATATATTAAAAAACTGAACTATTAATCAAGTAAGTTCTGATTTCATTATTTTCTGATACTGATGGTGTAAAACAAAAGTTGCCATATATTCAAAAGTTGTTGCCATGGTTATTTTTCTGTTGCTAGGATATTCCGTTGAGTAATGCTGGCAGCACTCCTCAGGGCCAGGCAGTCCAGGTTAGACCACAGCAAGTTGATCTGAAGCTTAGAAGGGGTAAGAATTCTTCACCTTTTCATTATTTAATACTAGTGCTGTAGTCAAACGTTTAACCGTCCGGTATCCGACCGCCCATGGCGGATTCTGTTTTCAATTTGACGGTTTCGTTTTCCCGATTTTTTTTTTTTTTTTTTTTTTTTTTTTTTTTGAAGTTTCGATTTATGCCCCTCCACCTGGCACTATGCCTGGCAATGTCTCCCAGCTCAGTAATCTGTGTGTTGACTCACCACTCCAAAACTAGAACAACACTCCAATTTGTCTGTCATCTTGGTTTGAAAGTAATCTTTGTAATAGATCTCATCATCTCAATATGTAGTTTATAATAATAATTCATCCAACTTTTACACAAGGTTCTGTCCTAGGTCCTCTACTGTTTTTAATTTACATTAATAATCTTACACATTCTTCTAAAAACAACATTGTTACTATTATTTGTGACAAGTTCACAAGCACAAATCGGCCCCTTTAAATGCACCTCGCAGTTAAATGAAAGTTGCCGACAGAGTCGGTAAAAAAAAAAATAATTTTTTTTATTTATTTTTTTTTATTTTATTTTTTTATAATTTTTAAAAAAAATCGTTTAACCGAAAACCGTACGGTTTTGACTGGCGGTTAAACGGAATTGGAGATATCCGTGATGTTACATCACTATTTAATACAGTGAAACCTGTATATAAAGACCGCTCAAGGGAAACATGAAAAGTGGTCTTTACAGGCAGGTGGTCTTTAGGCACAGGTTCATTTTGTTCACAATTCAGCAACACACACTATTTAAAGGCCCACTGTACTACTTGTAGCTACATGTACTTGCTCCCCCTATATATAGAAAACAATGCCTAATCGGTGACCATTAGTCCCCCATGATCCTCTTTTCTTATGTTAATTGAGAGCTGAGTTGATGAGATAACCACCTGTCCAGTGACCTTGCGGGATGGTCTAATCCCTCCTATAAGCTAGTACAGATAAGCTTTAAGGGAAACAGAAAATGTGGTCTTAGACAAGTAGTCTTTCTATACAGCTGATCAATGAAGCAGGTCTCACTTTCACTGTACAAAATTAATAACAATCCCCTTTAAAGGCACACTGTCCTACTTGTAGCTACTTGCTCCCTCTATATAGAAAACTTCTCCAATCGGTGCCTGTTGGTCCCCCCATGATCCTCTTTTTCTTATGTTAAATGAGAGCTGAGTTAATGAGATAGCCACCTGTCACAGTGACCTTGCTTGCTCGCTGGGCGGTCCAATCCCTTCTGGCTGAAGTAGTAAAGCCTACCTTTAAGACTTTTACAACAAAGAGAGGGGAAAGAGAGAGGAAATAAGGGGCAGAAAACATTGCTTCTGCTGTGTTTGCGGGGTGGTGAAACTCTCAATTGGTTCTCACACTCTAGCGATATTGACAGACAAGGGTCCCGGTAAGGGCTTGACTTGATTCAATTAATATTTCCTGATGCTAGGGTTATTAATATCTACATGTGTGATAATAGTTTGTGAGGGGATTGCACAGGGGAACGCGATATATAGTGTACAGTATGTGCAACAAGTCTGCGTGTATGTGTGCGTATGTGTGTGGGGTGGGTGATGGTAATGGAGTTAAGCATGTACGGCAAACAAGTTGCAACCACCTGAATATGTTTTCGAGCATTGTTTTAGTGCCTTAATTGTTCTTTAGCGCCTTAATTGTTCTTTTGATTAATTAAACTCAATTTGTTTCTTTGCTTCAAATCCAATTATAATGTAAATACATGTGTGTTTATGTATATGTACGTGTAACAGTTTTTAGCAATACCAAGAATTAATTTTTCTTCAAAGATAATATTTTAGAGTAAAAATGAAAGTTAGCTTGTATGCTTATAAATGTAGATCCGTTTAAAATTGCCCCAAAAATCAATGCTAAAAAAGTTTCAGTACACATAAGATAGATTTCATTTAACATGTTTTAAAGACAAATGTGCCTCTACAAAATAATGCATTTCTGTGATGTTATTGTTTCTTTAACAGTGTTTCTCCAAAAAAACATTTGGGGATATTGTGATCACATACATGTAATTATTTAAATGTAGTTATTCCCTCCAATGGTTTTTAGCCACCAAGTTATTGAATGGTACTATTAAACTTGTCACATTGTTTCAGTTTTGCATTTGATCGGCTTAATTGCCATTGTGTCGGACTAAATATCCATTGAATGTGTATTTTCTTAGAAAACCGACAGCACTATAAATCTATACTCTATCATTAGTGTGATACATGTTCATTCATTTTATTTTTAATTTAAAGGGGAAGTCCACCCTGACATTCAGTTGGTTTCTATAGAAGCACAAAAATGAGAGGAGAAAATTAGTGAAAGTTTTGAGCTCAGAGGGTAATAGGGACTTTTAGATTAGCACGAAGACAATGTGGATTGCTACAATCGACGTCCTTTTAATGCACTACCTTAAATGGATGTCACACGTATCAGTCCACGCAAATCTAAAAGTCCCTAATGATGGTGATGGAGATTGCTGTTGAAGTTGTTGTTGACGTTGCTATTGTTAGTATTGGATTTATTTGTTTATTTGTTTTCATTGTTATCATAGGCATCTGAACCTTGATATATATATACAAAAAAGTGGTTGTGATGTTCCAGGTCTGACAAGTTGAGGAACATCTTCTTCTTCTTCTCTTTCTCCTTCTTCTCTTTTGTTCTTCTTCTTCTTCTTCTTCTTCTTCTTCTTCTTCTTCTTCTTCTAGGACTACTACTACTACTACTACTACTACTACTACTACTACTAGTAGTACTACTCCTACTCCTACTACTACTACTATTACTACTACTACTACTACTACTACTACTACTACTACTACTACTACTACTCCTACTACTACTCCTCATACTCCTACCACTACTACTAGTGCTGCTGCTGCTACTAGCACTACCTCTACTAGCACTACCACTACCACATCAATGTATTTGTTTTCATTAGCTTGTACGGTCTCTTCTCTTGACAGGAAAGCCAGTGGTTATGACGCTCCAGGTCCGACAGGCCGAGGATTACCCGGTAGATCTCTACTATGTGATGGATCTCTCTAAATCCATGGAAGATGATCTCTCCAAGCTCATGGACCTTGGAGATATTCTAGGTATGTACATGTACATGTATATACAGTCAAACCTGTCTAAACAGACCACTCAAGAGAGAGAGAGAAGAATGGTGGTCTCAATAGGCAGATGGTCTTTATGTACAGGTTTTTGTAATACAGATATCAATGGAAAAGTCTATTTGAGGGAAATTTAAAAAAATGTGGTCTTCATGGACTTGTGATCTTTCTATACAGGTGGTCGCTAAAGCAGGTTCGACTGTACTTACATGTACTGAAGATGCATATAGTCGTCTTTATTTTCGGTAGCAGAATATTGGAGAACTTGCATTAACATTACTCAAATGCCTGTAGGAGAGATATTTCCTCGAAAACAGAAAGATATGTGTGTACATGTACGTTATATTCTCAGCCTTGGTGGCATGTACCAAAATCACAGCAAATTCTTGTTATTTCCTCCCCATGTGATAGACTATCCTTAAATTTTCCTATATTTCCTCTGAAACTATATATTTTATAGTTTTATTTATAAATGTACTTGGTTCCTAGATTTCTATCAAATCCTATTTCCTTTTAAATTTAAAGAGTATCGTTTCCTTTATCCATCCTCTTCATTACAAACTCTTTTCAGCGAGCGAGATGAAAAATATCACAAGCAATTTCAGACTTGGTTTCGGATCATTTGTTGATAAGACTGTGATGCCCTATGTCAGTACAGTGCCTGAAAAGTAAGTATAAATTTACCTTTTATTAACCATTCAATCCCAGTTACATAGTAATTCCCCATCTTCATACCCAATTTATAACCACATGTCCTATCTTCTTGTAATTTATTCATTATCCAAAGTACAAAATTATTGCAGTTTCATTTATGTTACCGTATTTGCCGGCGTAAAGGCCGCACCGCCGTATAGGCCGCACCCCCAACTTTGACATTTCGTAGAGGAAAAAAAAAAACTACAAAAAAAAAAAAAAAAAATTAAAAAATTAAAAAAAAACGGACCAAACAAAATGATCGTAATTTTCTTGTAGAACACTCTTTTTTTTTTACAAACTATACCAAATTCATCAATATTCCTATAAATCAACAAGAAGTTAACCTCAAAAATGATCATAATTTAGCAGATCTTCATCGACTTTTAAGCTAGTACTGTATCGTACGCAGATTTGGTATCCTACAATACCCCTTCCTCGATGTGCGGTGTAATCCGAAATAGCATTTTTCGACCTGCGCAGTTGCGTTGCACGGCAGCTAGCTCCGTAAGTAACGGCCTGTCCCTTTGTTTACTTTTTGGCGATGCAATGGTATGGACTTAGATCTAGATCTATCGGCAGATTTTATTAGAAAAATAAGTTTTTTTGTCTTCATGTCAACTATGCAACATAAACTTGTCGGTAAGTTGTGTGGAGTTATTCTAGAATTGTCCTGTACCGTTGTCTAGTCATGCTACCGTTCCTATAGTCCCATACGTGCAAATGGATGTGATGTTTTGACCGCTGAATTTTGTTGTTGTTGCGTATACAGGCAAAAAATTAAGTTTTTCATTTCGGGGGCTCCATTTCAAATTTTGGGGAAATTTTCGGGGGCTACTTTTTCAACTTTCGGGGGCTCTTTTTTCCATTTCGGGGGCTCTTTTTTCTGGGGCTACTTTTTCATTAATTCATAAAAGGATAGGCCTATAGTTTGTTGAGATTTGTTTAGTAGGCTAAGGTTTCGGGCTTCCTGCTTCATAATTGCCTATTAAAAAAGAAACCCCTTTTTCTAGTTCAATAACTAAGTTTTCATGTATTGATTTGATGCAAGAACTGTAACATAATAGACCCTAGATTGTGACTATTTCTGGCCATGAATTTCGATAATCATTTTTCAAAGTAAAATTTTCACAAGAAAATCAGACAGTCGTTTAAAAACGTAGACATTAGTAATACTTTTACTAGACCTAATTCTAAGCTCAGGTTTCGTAAATCTATTCACGAAACTATATTGAAATCGCGCCAATAATGATGCAAACCAACAGATAACAATTTCAAAGTGTCAAATCTCTTCGACTCGAGCTCAGCCCAACTCACACACACACTGCAGCTGCAGGAAACTTCAACACCGCGCCGCAGGCGTCGGACGCCTGCGCTGCCGGACGCCTGCGCTGCCGGTGTTGGAGCTTTAGCCCATCTTCACTCACACACACTGCACAGCGGCAATGCACTGTATTGTACAAATGCGTGTCAGTCACGGTGATTTTGTCTGATTTTCTTTACTTTTAAGAAATGATTATCAAAATTACGTAAACATGGCGAGAATATCACAAAATAGGCTTTAATTTCATACCTCTATTAATGGAAACTTTATAAAATTGCGGCAATAGTGAATTCGTGATGGAAATTGATTGCAGTTTGGCGATCATTTAGTGGTTCATAGTCTAGATTCAGCTTCTACCAAAACAAAATCGACCGCCAAAAACTCGACCCCTACGCTCCGATCCGTCTCGATCTCTCGCAACTGCGAAAATGTATGTGTTTTGGCGTACTTGCGTGCGACATGGTAAGCCAGGTAAGGTATGGAATATGGTTCGAGTTTTTGTATGACCGATTTTTGTTTATACAATTTTACACGGAGATTCAGCGCGCGGACCAAGAAATGCACGCAATGAATACGAAGCTAGAAGAGAGCGCGCGACCGCTCGTAATCGTTACGGGGGCGATTTGAGATCATTTCACTTTTTGATGTCGCCCCCGAAATCGGATTTTGAGCCTATTTCGGGGGCTGTTTATGGTCTTTCCGGGGCGAATCCGCCCTCCGCCCCCGTGTATTTTTTTGGCTGTGCGTATACGCCGCACCCCGATTTTTTGATTTTTTCTCACCCGAAAATACTGCGGCCTTTACGCCGGAAAATATGATACTTAATGTATTTTCATTGTTATTATCATATTACTGTTAATACACTGTTCGTGAAGTAAAGAGCGTTTGTTTCGTCTAAATTAAGCACAATGTTCAATTCACCTTTCTTCTTAATGCTTATTACATATTTAGATTAAGCGTAATTTTCATTTGTTTTGTAAAGCGCTTAGAAACTGTTTGCGTATAGCAGCACTATATACATTTTAGATATTATTGTTATTACTACCTTCTAACATTTGAATATAATACCGGTAAGATTAATATACATCATAATTATTATGTATCAAGCCCAAAATAATGTATGAAACATGATAATACTAATACTAATCATAATATTCAGGATTCATATAGCTCCTAATACATCTAAGAAGTCTCTAATCTATTAAGTGCTTTACAGATATATTATAGCCCCTGTCATTGGATTTAGGCTTGCCCGAATACAATGTATGCACCTTCTCCACTCCCTGGGGAGCATTCCAGTCAGGCATCTTTTTTTTTTTACAGACACTCACAATGCTAAACAAACAACAAAGATTTTCAGATCAAAATATATTTCATGTAATAAGGGTAAAGGAGAATCCAGTAAACAGACTGGCTTCAAATCCTGTCAATCAGTTGCCCCACACCTATGGATCAAACTCCCCGCATTTCTGAGAAATAGTAAATGACTTCTTCAAGAAACATCTGAAAATGTTCCTCTACATTTCTTAATTTGTCCTTAGACCAAGGGACGGTGCTTTGTTATCCTCTGGAAAAAGGGCCATATAAAGATGCAGTTGTTATTGTTATTATTATCATTACTGTTATTATCTTTATTATTATCATTATTATTAGTAGTAGTAGTAGTAGTAGTAGCAGTAGTAGTCGTAGTAGTAGAAGTACATGTAGTAGTAGTAGCGGTAGTGGTAGTGGTGGTAGTGGTATTATTATTATTATTATTATTATTATTAGTAGTAGTAGTAGTAGTAGTAGTAGTAGTAGTAGTAGTACATGTAGTAGTAGTAGTAGTAGTAGTAGTAGTAGTAGTAGTAGTAGTAGTAGTAGTAGTTGTAGTAGTAGTGTTATTATTATCCTTTCACTACATCAGATCACTTGAAATCATTTGAGGGGATAGTGCGTACATAGATCAATTAAATTGAATGGAAGTTGACTTCCTCAAAGTAATTTGTATCACTTTCACTTGCGTGTGTTAATCTAGATCCATGGTGATAACCAAACTTGATTTGTTATAAATAGAGGGTATGGGTTCTTACATGTTCTTGCAGTATGGAGTAAAATAGTGCATAAACAAGGCAATTCTAAACAAGAATGGAATCGCATTGTTCCAGCCATTATTAACAGGGCAGGGGGAGGGGGGGGGGGGGGGCTGAGCCAGTCTGTACATGTCTGTTGGTTGATGATATGCAGAAATTCAATTCTGTAAATAATTTTGAGGGGAAAAAACAAGAAGTGAATGTTAAAGTTCATTTATGTTTCCCCAAATATACATAAATGTATCTGCAATGTATACCATTGAGAAGACTGGACTTTGTTAAGAGAAAAAACTTTGAGAGTATTTGCATACATGCATGTAAACCACTCAAAAGAAGTTCCGCACTTAGTTTTAGCATCGATATCCTGCTTGTTATTGTATATGTTATCATACTTGATGCTGGTATCATTGAAAATCCTGTTTATTCCTCTATACAATGATGCCCCATATGTACGTAATGATAATGTAATCATGGACTGAGCAATACACTTGAATATATGGCCAAGTCATGAGCGAAATGTTCCAAATGCATTGTTATTGTCAATAGGGAATTCTTCATTTTTTATTTAGAGGGTGGATTGTGTTTTGAAGGAATAACAATGCATTTTACAATATTTCACCTTTCACGTGGCCCTATATATTCAGGTGTACTGCACATTCCATGATTACATAATCATTATCATAATCATATAAGAAGCCACCATTATTATTATTATTATTATTATTGCCAATTGTAAGGGGGAATAAACCAATCAAATATGATAATATAGTAACAAGACATTTCGACGCCCAAACTTGAATTGCAGAACTTTTTCGATGGGTTTTGATCAAAAGCATAGTCAATGATTATATAATCATTACCAATGGGGCTGTATTGTAAAGGGGAATAAACCGACCTTTCAATGATACCAACGTCAAATATGATAATACAGTAACAAGACACTTTTTTTAATGCTCAAACTTGAATCCCAAAACTTTTTTGAAGGGTTTCGATCAAAAGCCCAGTCCATGATTACATAATCATTACTGATGAGGTATTATTGTAGAGGGGAATAAACCGACCTTTCAATGATACCAACGTCAAATATGATAATATAGTAACGACATTTTTTTGATGCTCAAACTTGAATTGCAGAACTTTTTTGAAGGGTTTTGATCAAAAGCACAGTCCATGATTACATGTGCATTACCGATGAGGTATTATTGTGGAGGGGAATAAACCGACCTTTCAGTGATACCAACATCAAATATGATAATATAGCAACAAGAAATTTCGATGCTCAAACTTGAATTGCAGAACTTTTTCGATGGGTTTTGATCAAAAGCATAGTCAATGATTATATAATCATTACCAATGGGGCTGTATTGTAAAGGGGAATAAACCTTTCAAAGATACCAACATCAAATATGACAATATAGTAACAAGACATTTCGACGCTCTAACTTGAATTGCAGAACTTTTGAGGGGTTTTGATCAAAAGAGGATCATCAGAAATCATGTTTTCTTATCTTTCAGATTGATTGCACCTTGTACAGGGTGTGAGGCTCCGTATGGATTCAAGAACGTACTCCCATTGAATGAGAACACTAACTTATTTTCAGTGAGTTTTAGTTCATTTGCTTTGTTGAAAGTGCTTTTATGTAACCTCCATTTTCTCATTTTTGGTACAGTATGTTTTCTTCTTTAAAAAAAATCACATTGTGGATCCAGAGCCCTGTTTCATGTAACTTGTTATTTGTCACATGGTACGATAAATGTTCAAGCTTATCAACACTAGTGTGGCTAGGAGGGATTAGACCACACAGCGAGGTCACTGACAGGTGGCTATCTCATCAACTCAGCTCTCAATAACATAAGAAACTGGCACCGATTGGGGAAGTTTTTTAGATAGAGGGAGCAAGTAGCTACAAGTAGGACAGTGGGGCTTTAAAAGCTACCAACATCCTTGCATTTGATAGGCTATAAATAGATCTGTGATAGATCTGTGGGAGTTGTTATTGATAACACGTTTTGTGAAACAGGCCCCTGATTGCTTCTACTATTAATGATGATACTACATGTAATTTACACAGTCCATAACATTCATTGCGCTGCCTGAAGCAAACATGATTAAAGACAAAATACTTATTCCTAGAATGTAAATACAAATACATGTCAAGATATAATATGAAACATTGTATGAGATACTTGTAATGATAAAATCCACTTTAAGATCACTGAATGAAGCGGACCAGGGGGGCGTTTCACAAAAACTTGTCATCGGTGACAAATGACAGTGTTTGTTATAATCTACTGAAATCCTTGCTTCTGATTGGTTATCAACAGATTTGTCACTGATTTTCGTAATTTTAATTGCAAAAAGGCTTTGTGAAACCGTTCCCAGGTAGATTTTCAGTGAGGTTTTCTAATTTGCATTGTAAGTGGGTGTCTTTGGGATGAAATGTGAGAGTCTGTTTCACAGATTTGCCCCTGCAAGTTACAAAGTATTTTAAAAATGTAAATATTTCTTGTTCTTTGTTTTTTAATTTTACTAGGAAACGGTGATGAACCAGAGAGCTTCAGGAAACCTAGATGCACCTGAGGGAGGCATGGATGCTCTCATGCAAATCACAGTCTGTGGGGTAAGACTACATTCATTGTTCTATTAAAGGGATCTGGTAACTTTGCCTCAGATTCTGAAACAAAATCCTGGATTTAACTCATGCTGCAATAATAATTATAAACCTACAGGTCAGTCAGGAACCCCATTAATTTTACAAGCCGATCGCCTGTCTGATTATCAAGATATCTATGATTGAAAATCGAAACCAAATTTTGTGTTTTCCGAGAGGTTTCATAACACTACAGTCTATTGGGGAAAACAAGTATGGTCAAATCGGTCACTCAAAGATTTTTACTTTTTTGAGGCACTTCTTGATCATTTTGAAGTGCAATTTTGTTTAGGGCTTCAATATTACACCATATTACAGACACTGATAACACGTAGGGCCGTGCATCTCAGATGTAACATTGTTAAACGATGCCTTTAAAGCCCCTCTAAAGTAATGGGAGCCCCAAATCGCCCAAAATTTGATGGAAGAATTTCACTTAATTTGTATCATAATGTGAAAGAGGATGTCATTAGAGACACACTTCTGCAAAGATTTACACCCCCAAAATGTGTTTGAAGACGAATATTGATAAAAGAATATATAATTTGGGTTTTCTATTGTAAAACCTAAAACTTTAGAGGGGCATTAATTAATGTAAAGGAGAATGCAAATCCAACAAACAATAGCTGATAATCTTATTAAAACTGTCAGCCAATTAAAATTTCTTGAGTTTCATTTTCCTTTAAAGAGAAGGCTGAGTTCTGGTTAAGATGACATATAATTTGAGCATTTTCTTTCCTTTTTCGTCAGCTTTGAAGAAATGTTCCATGATTGCACACATCCACGATCGTCTCCTTACAATCTGCTATTGTAAATAATTAACTTTTTATTCCCTATTTTTTTCCCCTTTTTTTTCTTTACCAATAGAACCAAATAGGATGGAGAGAGAATGCAAGGCATCTTGTGATCTACACCACCGATTCTTCCTTCCATTATGCCGGAGACGGAAAGGTATATACCGTAACATATTTATTTGAACTTCTATCTATCTATCTGTCTGTCTGTCTGTGTGTTTGTCTGTGTGTTTGTCTGTCTGTGTATCTATCAATCTTCTATGCCTCTTTCAATGAATGTATATTTCTATCTATGTACCATAGCTAGGAGGACATTGGGGCGAAAACGGAATGGACCTTAAGACACACACACTATGAACATGACTGACAAAGAAAGCGGACAAAATATACAGTTCCTCAGGTAGACAAAGGAACATCCCTTCACTGCTATTATGTAAAAATGTGTAGAACTGGTGTCACATGCATATTCACTTTTTACATAATAGCAGTGAAGGGATGTTCCTTTGTCTACCTGAGGAACTGTATATTTTGTCCGCTTTCTTTGTCCGTTATATTCATAGTGACAGGTTCTCCATCATTTTTTTGTTGTCTTCAGGTGTTCTAGTTAGCCGTTCGAACTGGTTACATTGCGATAGGGGTTGATTTTCTGGGTCTATTCTGAGTTGACAATACCGTTCATTTCTGGGTCAGGGTTCCATGAAGAAATATGCTGAAAGTCTTCTGCATCAAGCATAATATAAAAAAAGATAATCTGCGTGTGTAGTTTATAAAGAGGGATTAAGGATAGATTACAGACTTAAAGAGAAGGTTGAGTTCTGGGATAATAGGTGAAAAAGAATTTGTGAAGTTGTTCAATATTTTTTATGTTAGTGTTGAGGAGTATCATAAATACTGAGAAAGATGGCTCTTCAATGCCCTCATAATAAAAAAAATGGCAAGTAACGGCTGATGGTTGTGGACCACAACTTCATGCATATGTTTGTGTAGTCCCGTACATACACATTTCTGTGTACAGTGGATATGACTCTTACCAAGACTAAGTCAATTTCTAATCATTTTGATGAATCCAAAACCTCACAGTATACCCCATTGTTTCTGTGCTACATGATCAATCTTTCTGATTTCTTCCACACAGTTTCTTTTGCTTTGCAATAGGCCATTTTCATAATGTAACCAAATTTAATGCATAATAAGTCTTTGCGAAGTGCCTCAATACAAATTATTTCATTCCCCAGATAAGAATACTAGTATTTTAATAGTCAGAATGCAAACTGCATATATTAAGTGTTGCTAGGTAGGTCAAGCCATAATGTTTGTCCCACCTGGATGCGACCGTCATTGTTGGTCAAACAGTTTGTGAGCGTCATGTAACGCCTGGCTGGAATGCTCCCCAGGGAGTGGATATTGTGCACACATTGTGTGCAGGCAAGCACTGAATCCAATGACCGAGGTAATAGTATATTTGTAAAGCGCTTAGAGACATTTGTATTAAGCGCTATATAAAAATTAAATATTATTATTATTATTAACTTATGTATACAGTTCGGATTCTGACTATTGAAATACCATTACTCTTATCAGGTGAATGAAATCATTTGTATTGAGGCACTTCATAAAGACTTACACACTAAATTTGGTTACATTACGAAAATGGTCTATTGCATGATCATCACTCACGTTATCTCTAACATATAATACTATCACACTCTTTTACATTGCTCTACATTGCATGTATTGCACGTAATGATGAAAGATGCAATATATGAGCCAAAGATAATCTACATGTATGTATGGTTTATAATTGGGGATTAATGACATAATATACACTTAATCCAAAACTAAGAGATGAAGAACAACTGCTAGCGACATCCTCCTAATTATAACCTTGATCTCAGTGGCTGGTTTTTATTTCCTAGAACAATACAGATATATTACTGTAACTACATTATGTTTGCTCAATTCTGGCTGATATCCAGTTATAATGATATGAAAGCAACTGTTGGAGGTTGAACATAACTGGGTATTTCCGTTCATTAAGCATTTAGTATAATCAAGGTTGTAGTTTTGAGTATGCATCTCATGTTCATTTTTCTGTAATATGATTTTAATAAGCCTACCAGTATGTTAATTACTTTATTTAGCTGTTTTGGGTGAAAAAAGTGCATTGGCTTTACAAAAAGATATCCATGGGATTCTTTGTTTATTTTATTTTGACATAGTTTTTACAAGGTTGTGGTATCAGTTTTTAGAAGCAATTTCTTTTTATCCGAAACATACACATACACTGATGTACATTACATGGTTTTTCCATGTTTTGACTTATATACAAGGATCATTCACACTGTAGCTATATGATAAGTAATTACTTCTTCTTTCTAGTAGTTGCATCAAGATATGCCGTTAAACCAAAGTATAGCAAAACGCATCTTTGAGCATTGTTTTGAGCGATAAATCGATGAAGAATATTAAAGGGTCTTGTTCTAATCTGGCTGTTGTAGTGTATGGAAATTGTATGACTGGGCAGGGCCTATTCTGAGCGCGCACTGACGATTTGGCAGCTGTCATATCAACTGAGTGAACTGACCTCTTCAAAACTAGTTTCATTATACAATGTTTTTATATGTTGTTCTTTCCCAGTCTGTATACCACTTTCACTGTAAGATGAGTCTTTATAGGAGTTTTGTATCAAAACACAAAAATTAGCACTACTGTATTATTATGATTAGAATATCAACTTAGAGGAAGTGAAGCATATAAAAGAGATTGCATTAGAAACATCCAGAATTGCTTCAAAAATAGCATTGAGGGAAAATATATAACTTAATATCACCCCCCCCCCCCCCCCTTTCCCATCATATCAACCAATTTAGGTTCTTGATCAAAGCTATGCCGGCCTCAAAAATACAAAAACAGCACTACTGTATTATTATGATTAGAATATTAACTTAGAGGAAGTAAAGCATATTATAGAGATTGTATTAGAAACATCCAGAATTGTTTCAAAGATAGATACTGTAGCCTTCAGGGAAGATATATAACTTCTTATCATATCAATTCTATCCCCCCCCCCTCCCCCATCCTATCAACATATTTATGATCTAGATCAACGCTATGCCGGCCTTAAAATCACAATAACAGAACTACTGTATTATTATTAGAATATTAGCTTTAATAGAGGAAGTGAAGCCTATAAAAGAGACTGCATTAGGAATATCCAGAATTGCTTTAAAAAAAGCATTCAGGGAAAATGTATAACTTCATATCATATCAATTCTATTCCCCCCCCCCCCCCCCCTCCCCAATCATATCAACCAATTTAGGATCTAGATCAAAGCTATGCCGGCCTCAAAATTACAAAAAAATAACTACTGTATTATTATTATTAGAGTATTTAAAGGAAGTGAAGCATATACATGTAATAGTGACAGCATTAGAAACATCCAGAATTACTTCAAAAATAGCCTCCAGGGAAAATATACAACTTTATATCATATCGATTCTACCCCCCCCCCCCTCCCTCCCCCATCATATCAACCAATTTAGGATCATGATCAAAGCTATGAGGGCCTCAAAATCACAAAAACAGAACTACTGTATTATTATTATTAGAGTATTAACTTAGAGGAAGTGAAGCATATAAAAGAGATTGCATCAGAAAAATCCAGAATTGCTTCAAAAAGAGCCTTCACAGAAAATATATTACTTCATATCACATCATTTCTACCCCCCCCCCCCCCCCGAAACATATCTACCAATCTAGGATCTACATCACAATTATGCCGGCCTCAAAATCACAAAAACAGCACTTTTGTATTATTATTATTAGAGTATTATAGAGGAAGTGAAGTATATAATAGAGATTGCATGAGAAACATCAATAATTGCTTAAAAAATAGCCTTCCTGGAAAATATATAACTTCATATCAGATCATCTCTACCCACCCCCCCCCCCCAAAAAAAAACAACATATACATGTATATCAACTAACTTAGGATCTAGTTCAAAGCTATTCCGGCCTCAAAAACACAAAAACAGCACTACTATATTGTTATTATTAGAATATTAACTGAGAGAAAGTGAAGCAAAATATTATAGAGATTGCATTAGAAACATCCTGAAAAGCTTCAAAAATAGCCTTAAGGGAACCTATCAACCAATTTAGGATCTGGATCAAAGCTATGCCGGCCTCAAAAACACAAAAACAGCACTACTGTTTATTATTTAGACTATGAATTTACAGGAAGTTAAGCTTATAATAGAGATTGCATTAGAAATATCTAGAATTGCTTCAAAGATAGATAGCATTCAGGGAAAATATATAACTTCATATCATATCATTTCTACCCCCCCCCCCCCAACATATCAACCAATTTAGGATCTAGATCAAAGCTATGCCGGCCTCAAAAACACAAAAACAGAACTACCGCATTATTATTATTATCACAATATTAGCTTACAGGAAGGGAAGTATATAATAGAGATATTCCCAGTTGTCTGAGCTCAATAAAAACAGAGCCAAAATGAGTAACACGATACACGGTGGCTGAACGCATGATTGTTCTCAGTGCGGTGGATAAATAAATAGCTGTATTGGTATTATTAGAATATTGACTTAAAGGAAGTAAAGCCTATAAAAGAGATTGCATTAGAAACATCCAGAATTGCTTCAAAGAAAGATAGCATTCCTGGAAAATGTATGATTTCATATCATATCATTTCTAATCCCCCCCCCTCCCTCCCCCATCGTATCAACCAATTTAGGATCTAGATCAAAGCTATATGCTGGCCTCAAAATCACAAAAACAGCACTACTGTTTATTATTTAGACTATGAATTTACAGGAAGTTAAGCTTATAATATCCAGAATTGCTTCAAAGATAGATAGCATTCAGGGAAAATATATAACTTCATATCATATCATTTCTACCCCCCCCCTCAACATATCAACCAATTTAGGATCTAGATCAAAGCCATGACGGCCTCAAAAACACAAAAACAGAACTACTGTAATATTATTATTATTATCACAATATTAGCTTACAGGAAGGGAAGTATATAATAGAGATTTTATCCCAGTTGTCTGAGCGCTATAAACACACAGCCAAATGAGTAATACAATACACGGTGGCTGAGTGAATAGGCCTGTCTACATCAGCTCGAGTTTGCCAAATAACGTGCTGTTTTCAGACTCTGGATATTATCCCCAAGCTTGAAATCGCGTCTTCACCAGACCGATACACTCATCACAAACTAGCTTGGACGGGCGCAAATTAGTCCGCTATTTCCCCGCTATTTCCCAAATAGCGGGATATTTGGGAAACAAGACCAACATTTCTTTGGATATTTTCTCGACCAAATAACCCGCTAATTGCAACTGCAGGCTGATGAAGACGCAAATTAGCTGGATAATTTGCGATCAGGATAGTTGAAATAGCGGGTTATTTGGCAAACTCGAGCTGATGAAGACAGGCCTAATGATTGTTCTCAATGTGGTGGACAAATAAATAGCTGATTCTGACTCATATATTGTGTTCTAAGCTGGCTAGGACTAACTTCCTGGCTCTGCTTTTGTTGTATAATACACGTACATGTAGCTCCAATGTCATGTATGCTGTTAGCTGTATTATATTGTTTATGTGTACATGTGTATGTATTTGTCCAATAGAACAGTTTGTAGTTATCACATTTCAGTTTGGGTTTTTGTTTTCATTTTAGTTTCTTTTACTTTACATGAAAAGCAATGCATGAGACATTGCATATTAACAAAATTGATATTCATGAACAATAAAGACATCTACACGGCATAAGTTTGTATTACATTTACACTAGACAATTTCAAAGTTACATAGAAAAAAGGGAACTTTTTCAAAAGCATAACTTGTTGATTTTTAGTTTTTCTAAATCATTTTGACACAGTGTCATTCATAATAAGGTAGAAGTATAATAATTATTTTTTTAAAAGAAGAAAAAAAAAGCAAGTATCATATACAAATTACCCCAAATGTCAACAGATCTTTTAAATATGGAATGGTTCCACTTTGTGCATTTTAGAATAATCACTGCCAAAGTCATAGATGTGCTTCATGAATACATTTTGTTTTGCCCTTTCAAGAAGAATACTTCCACCTGTGATCCATAGAATGCACTGTGGGTGAATAAATGAATAATGGTTACATAACTTTCATGAGCGTGTATCCATTATTCATCTTGGTGGGTTTTAACATTTTGGCAGTATGACCTTTATCTGCCCATGCGCAGATCGTACAAACTGGCTTATTACTGTCAAACCTGTATACATGTAGACAGGCTGCTGGGGGGGGGGGGGGGGCATGAAAAAGCATGAGAAAAAGCATGAGAAAAAGCAATTTAGCTCCAAAGTGAAAAGTAATCATGGATGTAGTTCATTTGTTGTAGAATACATTAAATGCTTAATAGAACAACATTTAACATGAAGTGTAAATAATATATACAATTGATAACTAAATTATTCACACCCTTTATACAAGTTTTTGTAATTTTATAATGATGAACAAAATTAGTTTGTCCCGAATTGTTTTTCTTGATAATGTACATATAAAGCTTACATCTAAAAGTATTCAACTACTACACCTTCATTCCTGAGTTACGAAAAACGCTCACAAAGAGCCACCAAATTTACAAAGGGTATGAATAATTAACTGTACATATATGTAAATCCATATATACCTGTACCTGCACATTTACATGTGTATGTATAATTTACAATGCAATATGACAGTACAATGTACCTGTAAAAGTACAACGTATGTTTTGTTCAATTCATATAAAGCTGTAGGTTCAGATAAATCTTTAATATTCAAGTTGTGATGTTTCCTAGGACTCTTCTATTTCTTTTTTTCTTTTTGCTGTGCACATCTTCACTTCAAAGAAACAGAGAAGGAAAGAGAAATGACATACTTATACAATTTGTATTTAACATTACAATGTAATGAATTGCTTTTTTCTTTTGTTTTCCTACAGCTTGGAGGTATCATTACTCCCAATGACGGACAATGCTATCTGGACCCTATTTCACAGAACTATACTATGTCACATTACTTGGTAAGTACCCCACCCCTTCCCCCTCCACCCCCCCCCCCCCCAACAAGTAAGCCAATTAAATGTATAGACCAGTTTTGGAAACGCCCCCTTTCAAAAAATGAAATGGAAGCTCTTATTACCAATCATGTGAAAGAATATGTTTTGACTGATATGTGATGATACAAATTTTGCCGAGAAACCGCCTACTAATTGATATATTTGGTAAATTAATATATCTATCCGGACTGGATAGATATTGTGCAGTCTCTTATAATCTTTTTGTGTACGGTTGTTTGTAACTTTACCAAGACTGGGTCAAATTTCTTATCATTTTGATGATTCCAGAACCTTGTAGTACACAAATACTTATATGCTAGATGATCAACCTTTTCTGATCGATTCCACAATGTTTCTTTCACAATGCAATCGCATGACCAGAACTGGTCTTTACCTTTGATAAACAAAACTTGAGAAAAAGGAAGAGAACACTCCAGGTTTCAATGGTAATTTCGGTCTAAGAGGAAAGAACAGAGTCTTCCTATATGTACACATGTACACTTTAATGTATCGCTGGACAAAATGTACATGGACGTCCATATTAAAATAGCGTGTAATTATTAATGATCTTGCATTATTGAAAATATTGAGATTTTCTAATGAAACCCCAAATTAATCATTGGAATCATTCAGTAGGCACATACTATCAAATTGATATACTGTAAGTATCTACATTGTAGTCGTGTTTATTATAAAGAGAAAATACTACCATCCTAGAAGTCCCCAGAACCCGAACCACCCATTATGGGGACCGTGCATTTGGGCATGTTGCACCAGTCAGTTGGAACAAACTGCCAAGTGCCATTCGACACATTCAATGCTTTGAAACCTTTCAGAAACATGTTAAAACGGTTTTATTTACTCAGAGTTGCAAATGATATTATGTTGTTGAAATTCTGGAGAGAGATTTGTGTATTTTGTTTTGTATAGCGCCTTGAGTAAGTAATTAGAAAAGTGCGCTTTATAAATATTTATTATTTTTATTATTATTATTAAGTATAGGGGAAAAACCTGGAGGTCATGGGTTTGAAACCAAGTAGATGCGCTTGTGCCCTTTGGTAAGGCGTTAACCCTCATTACCAAGTCCCTCGGAGAGGACTTAAAGCCGTCAGTCCCCTGGTTGCTTACCTAAAATGTATGCTTTCTTAGCAGTTAGGTAAAACAAACAAACAAACATAAACTTGCCGCCAATCATATTAAGCATTTTATAGTGTAAATAGATCACAATCCTTTTAGGAATTTTGTTACTTATGTTTCATCACCTTTGTGGTTCATTGTTTAAACTGTATAATAGTTGCAACTTATCTTTGATAAAGACATTGTTATATTCTTTTTCATGTGAAGTCAATTCAAATGGATTGTAAAATTGAAAATGATTTGTTATATTATAATCTTTTTCATGTGATCTCCAATGAATTATGAAATTGTGAAGATGCATAAATTAAATGAATAATAAAATAAATGAAATAAACATATTTGTTTGTTGATTTCCAGGACTACCCATCCATCAGTCATCTCAACGCTAAGATGAGAGAGAACAGTGTGATCCCCATATTTGCTGTCATCCAGAAAGAGTTTGAGATCTACAATGTAAGTTTCTAGATAAAGTCAAACCTGCATTACCGACCACCTGTATAGAAAGACCTGTCTATAGAGACCACATTTTTTGTTTCCCCTGAAAATGGTTTCTCATTGAAACATCTACTAAAGGAACCTGTACATGAAGACCACCTGTCTTTAAAGACCAATTTTCTTGTCTCCCTTTGGTGGTCTTTATAGACAGGTTTCTCTGTAGAAAGTTTACATAAATCATAATCGGACAAATAATAACAAAGTTATGATTGTTTTGAATATATAAAATTGATTTATCCAACAGTTTAAGATTTAGCAGTTACGTAGTAGTAGTAGTAATAATAACATTACTGTTTCTTATAGAGCACTTTACCAGTTACATTGTACCGGACCTATGTGCTTACAGTATTATTACCCCGGCCACTGGATTCTGTTATGATTCTGCACTTTAGAGTGCACATTCTCCACTCCCTTGGGGAGCATTCTAGCCAGTCGGGCGCGCTCATGCTAATCCAACCACATTGACGTTCACATCTCACCAGGTACCCATTTAGCACCTGGGTGGAGAGAAGCAATGTAGATTAAAATGCCCTGCTCAAGGAAGGAAATGCTATGCCGGGGCTTGAACCCATGACCTTTGCACTCACTGTAGAGTGATTCTAGACCACTTGACTGTGACACCTCTACATGCACAATTCCTGAACAATGAAAGATGTTCATGCGTGGGTATATAGCCGTTTGTGAAGTAGGCAACTTGGCGATCACTACATAACACAGAGCAAACGGGTATTACGCTCCCGTGCGGACGTTCGTGTGCTGCCCGCTATATACCCACGCATGCACAATTCATGTCAGGACTTTCAATTTAACTGCCTTTTCCCCGAACTCTTTGTGTTTCCTGCAGAATCTGACTCAATACATAGAGGGCGCTACAGCGGGTATTCTGGCCCAGGATTCCAACAACATTGTACAGCTGGTCAAAGACAACTACAGTGTAAGTTATATAGCTCTATATAGTGTGTGGATGTGCAGAGATGGCAATGTCCTTAAGTGGGGGGACTTCTTCATCTTTTGTGAAGACGAATAAAATGGTGAACATACGGTACATGTCTGTCTTCAGCCGTTTGTTTTTTTCTGTGGTTTTTCATCAAGTTATCGTCATGTAGTTACGATCCGTTGTCAAATTAGAAAATGAAAGATACTGTATATTCATGCATTCAGACATGCTGTAGATGTTATTAGCAGTTTGGAGCATTAAGGATGTTAGTAAACATACTTTAACACAGAGTTAAAAAGGAAACCTTGTAATCTTTAAAGTCATAAGCCAATGCTCGTATTGAAGATTAAAAAACTTTTTTGTTGGGTGTTATTATTTGTAAGGTAGTCAAAGTTAAAGGTAATGCAAAGTTTTGGGAAATTTGAAAATTGGATGGATAGTAATTTCAACACTTTAGACTCAATTTCAACTGCGACAACTATCATTGAATATTGTAAATCACATTATACTTCCAATATGTTCATTTGAACCAAATTCATGACCCCACACAAAAACTCGGTATTAAATTTAATATACATGTATTTAATGGAATATATTTTACAGAATCCCCCAAATCGTAATTTGCATTTCAATTTTTTTTCTCACAGAAAATCACATCCAGAGTCGAAGTGGTAGACGACGCCCCCGAGAACGTGACCATCGACTACGTCGCCCATTGTCCCGGAGGACAGGTCACGCCAGGGTCACAGGTGTGCGAGGGTCTTCAGCTTGGCGACACGGTCAACTTCACGCTGACCATTACGGCGACCGGATGTCCACCCAATAAATACCAACAGTGAGTATTTTTGTATATATATAAATTATGTAAATCATTAATACAGTTTGGTTTACCTGACTGTTAGGGAAACATGTGTGTGCTTGTAAGTAAGCAACCAGGGGACCGACAGATTAAGTCCTCTCTGATCGACCTCGTAATGAGAATTAATGCCTTACCAAAGGATACAAGCGCACCGACTTAGTTCCAAAATCTTAATCGAAGAGTTTCCGCCTTCATTTCTTCCTACAGCTACTTTATATTTGGCCTATAAGTTCCAAATGAGAGTATGGTCTCTGTGTAAAACATTTATCTTTATCTGCCATCCTCGACCCAGGTGAAGCTCATTGGAACGCAATAGGAAGAAATTCCTTTAAATTTTTGATGCACGGCTACCAGACATTCAGCCTATATTGTTTCTATGTTAATCTTTAATCTTCATTTGCTACATCTGATTCAGTTGAGGTAAATGGGTATCCAGTAGAAGGAAATTTTTTGGATTTTTTTAAGCATAGCTACTGGATTTTTGGCCTTTAAATTAAAGTTGAGCATTTTTTTATATTGTCAATCATTAATCTACATTTGCTTCTCTTGACCTGGGTGAAGAAAGTGGGTACGCAGTATTAACCAAAGCTTCCTTGAATCTCTCTAACTTATGCCTGCCGTTGGTAACTCTTCACTCAAGATGCGAAGGTCATTGATATGAGCCCCAGCTTTGCATATTTATCCCTTTTTTTTCTTTTTTTAAACGGGATGAAACTTGGAGAGTTTTGTAAACAAATTATCGATGAAGGCATGCTTGTGAAGAGGTATGTCATAGAGCTACTGCTAGGAGCAGCTAGCTGTGAAAAATTGCACAAATAGACCAGTTCACGGTTACCACATGTCCCAAATGACTCCAAATATCCACAGATCTTCAAAACAATAAGAGGTCCCACTTTGTACATTTGGAAACAATCACTTCTACAACTATGGAGATGCTACATACGTAGCCTTTGTTTCCCCTTTTCAAAGAATACTTCCACCTGTGTATCATGAAGTGCACTGCTTGTGCATATGAATAATAGTTACATAACTTTCATGAGCACATGTCCAGTATTTTGTCTCGGTGTATTTCACAATTTGGTCTGCAATGACCTTTGTCTGCACATGTTCAGACTGCAACTATGAACTGGCTTATTCTAATAGAGCACCTGAGGATATAGGACACCACACAGGAAGCGCATCTAGGATGTACAGCTTCCATATTATGTTTGTTTTGAGTTCTGTGTCATCTTTGTGTTTCACTGATCTAGGGGGTGTTTCACAAAACTTGTCATCAGTGACAAATACACTTTTTATTATAAGCTACTGAAGTCCTTGCTTCTGATTGGTTATCAGCAGATTTGTCACTGTTTTTTGTCATCTGTCATTGAAAGAAGGCTTTGTGCAACGGATCCCAGATGGCCAGAGGAAAAGGGAAGCATGCCCTGTGGTGTGGCGTTACATCAGCATGAGGCCTGTTTTCATCAGCTCGAGTTTGCCAAATAACCCGCTATTTTCATACTCAGGATATCATCTCGAAAGCTTGAAATTGCGTCTCCACCAGACCGATACGCTCATCACAAACTAGCCTGGACGGGCATAAATTAGCTCGCTATTTCCCAAATAGTGGGATATTTTGGAAACAAGACCAAGATTTCTTGGGATGTTTTCTCGACCAAATATCCTGCTAAATGCAACTGCGGACTATCCGATCGCAAATTAACCAGTTAATTTGCGAACGGATAGTTTGAATAGCGGGTTATTTGGCAAACTCGAGCTAATGAGGACAGGCCTCGTGATGTTTAGGTTTGTGTGGATTAGGTTCTCCATTTACTGAGTTGAATGTGCAGGAATTAATGCAGGAAGGAGTGTGTGGTAGGTTTCTGTTTCTTCTTGAAACATGTACAAACCTCATGCATGTAAAATTACACTCTTTATAAAGAGTTGGGAGAAATACGATTGTACATGTGCATTGTATGTGTAGGTATGGATAGACAGATGGAGAAAGGGAAACCAGGTATTGAAAAAGAAAGACAGGGAGAGTGGGGTAGAGAAAGGGGGAGAGAGGGAAGGAGAAGGGCATGACGAGAGAGAGAGAGAAGAGAGAGAGAAAGAGAGAGAAGGGAAGAGAAGGATGGAGAAAGACGAGGAGAGATTTAGTATGACTACATTCCAATAACTCAATTTCAAGAACTAATATGAGCAACCAACAGCTCAGTCAATTGAAAAAAGAAATTCATTTTTTGCCAAGTGTATGGCCAAGTTTATTTTGGCAGGCCTATGTACCACCATGACACTTTCGTTTACAGTAGCCTCTGCCAATATAAATCCATAAAACCCACATTATTAAATGCTCCGTTCTCATATGACGATATGAATCAGCCTTTGATTGTATTTCCTTCCCCCACCCCCTCCTTTTTTTTTTAGGGGGGGGGGGGGTTTAGGGTTACAATGACATACAGTCAACAACTAGATTATTCATACCCTGAATTTAGTCGTGTATGTGTGCATACAAGGAGATTAACACGTACATGCCTATGTATCTCCTTGGTACATACATGTATCTTTTGCAGTGGTTTTCCTTATCTGCAATTGTCAGCAAGTTTTCAGAATTTTTTATTTTCTAACTGATCCAACTAATGTTGTGTATAATATGTCATGTAGAATGACTGTAACACAATTCTGAAAAAAATCCAGTTTCCCTTCTAGTACTAGTGACGATTTACTTAAAACCTTTCAGGACAGGATTTATTTTTAGGGCTAATTTGATCACTATTGCTCACTATTGTCCTTCTAATTGGCAACAATGATATATTTCTGTTATTGCTACATCGTTCTAATAAAATGTAGTGTCTCTGAAAACAATATACATGGGCTGTAATATAGTCGAAAAGTTGGAACAAATTGCCAATTTTTATTGAAAAAACAATGTGAAGTCACTCAAAATATTTTAAAGCTTACTTTCCTTTTTAGAATTCCTAGCACCAAACGCCATATAATCATGAAACCAAAATGGATGCAGTATGTGCAGAAATGTTTGACCTTCCTACTCATGCATCTGGCATATTGGCAGGGCTCTGAAGAAGATGTTATTCATGCAGCCAAACCATCAAATGTGCAATGATTGTCGCAAAAGGGTTAAAGAGAAGGTTGAGTTTTGGGAAGAGGTGAAAAATAATTTGTGAGCGTTATCATTGTAATATGCAAGTGTGGAAGAACATCATTTGAAAATGTTCCCTGAAAAGCATGGCTCTATATTAATGCCTTAATATTCTAAATATGGCATGTAACAGTATACATATATACATGTTCGTGTAGTCCCATATACATCTTTCTGTGTACAGTGCTTGTAACTTTACCAAGACTGGGCCTAATTTCTTATCATTTTGATGATTCCAGAACCTTGCAGTACATACCAATACTTATAGGCTACATAATCAACCTTTTCTGATCGATTCCACACCGTTTCTTTCACAATTAATGCAATCACATGACCAGAAATCAACTTTATCTTTAAATATGACAGGATGTTTGTATAAATAACAGTCATAAGCCTTGATGGTGATTCCAAGTAGATACACTGACAGGAAATGATATGATACTGTGTACCTTACTACCTTCATCATGTAATTGTCATGCCAACAAATGTGCAGGTTTCCCCTCTTTTTTCTTCACATGCAATAATGAACACGTTTACTGTATGATGTTGGTCATTATGCTACCGGGCTGTAAAAATGTGTTGAAATCTATATCTTCTTACCTACCAGTATATGTTTGTGTATAGGCCTTGTACAGTGCATATAATATAGGCTGGAAAAAGGTGAATCCCGGTCGAACAGTTTGGTGAGGAATCGGGATTAAACCAACTTCCTGTGCTATGTACCGACAGGATATTAAGGAGTGAATTTAAGGTCAACAAAACATCATGACATGTAACTCAGGGCTGTCAACCCTCCCACATTTGGAGGGAGTCTCACGCCACCACGCTCATTCTCCCGCCGCCCCAAAAGCTCGTAGCGGGAGATTCCCGCCACCATGCCTTCCTCCCGCTCTCCCGCCCTCCCGCCAACGATGTAGAATCTCCCGGTTCATGAAAAAACCTCCCGCCAAACCGTACCGTATACCCCCCTCGCTTATTCAGTGGCTGGCTGAGTCGTTGCAAAATTTTCCTGCTTATTCAGCGGCTGGCTGGATTTGGCATTTAATATTTCTCCAAAAAAAAAATCTCCCTCCAAGCAGTTTCCCTAAGTTGACAGCCCTGTCTAACTTGCTTTAATATCCTTCGTTCAATGAAACCAACTTTAATGAAACCAACTTGATATCAGAGTAGACTTCACTTTAAGAAAAAAATCTCTTAAAGTTAGAGTCAGGTGTACATGTAGTTGATACTCATTGTCTTTAACTTTATGACATGCACGAGTATGAGGAGATTACATCTGTGTCAAATGAGAGTAATTAGAGGATTTATCACCAAAGTCTATAGGCCTGTCTTCATCAGCTTGAGTTTGCCAAATAACGCGCTATTTTCAGACTTGGGATATTATCCCGAAGCTCGAAATTGCGTCTTCACCAGACCCGTACGCTCATCACAAACTAGCTCGGACGGGCGCAAATTAGCCCGCTATTTTCCAAATAGCGGGATATTTTGGGAACAAGACCGATATTTCTCTGGATATTTTCTCGACCAAATATCCCGCTTAATTGCAACTGCTGGCTGATAAAGACTAATTTGTGATCTGGATAGTTCAAATAGCAGGTTACCGTATTTGGCAAACTCGAGCTGATGGAGGCAGGCCTTATGCCAGTTTCCAAAGGAAATACTGCACAGGTGTTGCTACATTGTACATGCACCCATTGATAGACATAATGATTCTCAAAATACATACACCGAAACTTCATTGCTGTTTGAAACTTTCCTTTCAGTTTTGGTTTAAAGTGTGGTCATTATGGAGTCAGTCTGTACGTCCATAAATTATGTACCAAATATGACATTGATCAACACATAATGTTTTCATGTATAAAAGTGTCTGCTAAAGAGGCAGAAAGGCAACACTGTGTAAAATGTATTGTGGCTTCTGGCTTAGCAGATATTATGATCAAGTACTGACATGCAGTTTAAAGAGAAGGTTGAGTTCTGGGAAGAGGTGAAAAATCATTGTATTATGCAAGTGTGGAAGAAAATCAGATAAAAAATGTACCCTGAGAAGCATGGCTCTTCAAATGCCTTAATATTATAAATATGGTATGTACCGGTATAAGATCATACAAATCAGTACATGTTCGTGTAGTCTCATATACATCTTTCTGTGTACAGTGCTTGTAAGTTGTAACTTTACCATGACTGGTCCAAATTTCTTACAATTTCGATGATTCCAGAACCTTGCAGTACACACCAGTACTTATATGCCAGATGATCAAACTTTTCTTATCGATTCCACATCGTTTCTTTCAAAATGTAATTACATGGCCAGAACTCAACTTTATCTTTATTAAAAGGACTAGCAAGGAATTTCCTTGATTTCAGTTGATTGGATACACTTGTATCGATTATGTGTATGTATTGATTGAAAATGAAACAGTTTAAATAGTTTTGTCGCTCCCATTTTCATTGACAATCAAGGCCCTGTTTCAGAACACTTGTTGTTATAACAAGATACAATAAATGTTATAAGCTACTGAAATCCTTTTATTTGATTGGTTACCCGGCAGATTTGTCATAGATTTGTTTATGAGACAGGCCTCATATTTATAACACACACTTTGGTTACGTGTGTATTTGCAGGTTTAACCAATTTTTGTAAATGGTGTTTCATTTCTTGTCGTTTTTATTAGGTTCACTGTACGCCCCATTGGATTCAACGAGGAACTGAAAGTGAATGTAGAGTTTGCGTGCGACTGTGACTGCGAAGCACAAAAGGCAAGTACTAAAAGTAACATTCAACTAGTATGGTTTAGGCCTATTTAAATTTGATTGAAATTAATAAGTTAATGATATGATATTAAATAATATGAGGTAATTTCACAATATGTGGGTTCCCTATCAACAATTCATTAAATTTATATATTATACTTTGTTACGGAATGTTACAATCAAAGAAGGTAAATTATTGGTCATTCTGTATTTAACAAAGCTTTGTAAAAAACAATATTTTATCAATTTGATGAATGGTTGGTGGATTAGAAAACTCACCTGTTGTGAAAATAACTTGCTGCTTCCCCAGCTGGGCTGTTGGTTCTTGCATCGAGTCCTCTGTCTGCGAAGTAGAAATAAGCCATTTGATTATGCACTGTTGGCAAGTTGACCATTAAATGACAGGGGCATAATGATATAAAAACTGTTGGGGGGGGGGGCACAAACTAAAATCTGCATTGCCACCACCCACCAGGTAGCATAATGGGCAAAAGTGAGAAGAAAAAACCCCGGAAAATTATGTAATTTCAGCAACATTTGCTAATCACTGGCATCAAATTAGTTATAGACCATGTTTGAATTTTTGGGGGGCCATTGAGGGGGGGGGGGGGGTTGTCACCCCCGCCAAGCCCCCCCCCCCCCCCCACCCCAATCAGTACGCCAGTGGATCATGACGCTGTGCGATAAACAATACGCTAGGGCAGACAGTTCATCAGTTCAATGCCTCTTTAACAGCATTGCTCAATATATTTTAACCATATGTTTGAAGGGATCTTATAAATTCCATGTTTTCAAAAGTAATTTAAATATAGTTCTTAAAGGGATTGGGTATCTTTGTCTCAGATTCCAAACAAAATCCTGGATTTAGCTGATGCTGCAACCATAATTATAAACTTTTAGGGTCAGTCAGCAATCCCATGACATATACAAGTCGAATGCCTGTCTGATTATCTATAATAATAATACAAAATAATAATAACAATATTTATAAAGCGCAACATATCCATCTCTAGAGATGCTCAAGGCACATACAAATAATTTAAATTAATATTCAACATACTTAAGATACACCACAAGAAAGGTTTATTTAATTTTGTGATAGATGGAGGCATGTCCAACTTATCTAAATACTAGAATCTTGTTTTTCATTGTACCTTTCTTTGTCAAACGTATATATCCTTCATTTCGTACATCTGCTTACCGGTATACTGTTTTATGCTTTGAGAAAAATTAAATAAAGATTTTTTTTTTTTTTTTCAGGTTGAGAATAGTCAGGTATGCAGTGGAGGAAATGGCACCTTGGAGTGCGGCAGTTGTATCTGTAACCCGGGACACTATGGCCGATACTGTGAGTGCAGCAGTGACGATCCTACGCTAGAAGACAATGACGCACCTTGCATATCGTGAGTACATCAGCTTAACCGAATACTTTGAGATTACGCTGAAGCCAAATATCTAGGTTTATCCACACAAAAAATATTGATAATACTCCATGATATGATATGTATGTAGACTATTCAAGCTTTGTTCATTTTCCTCTGTATTTGTAACCTATAATTTGTACAGGGCCTCTCAGGAAAACAGTTTTAACACTGAGAGAGTAACCCTGTTTAAATCAAACAAATAAATAAATGAATAAGTAAAAAACGACTTTTAACTCATGCCGCCGTTGACTGGCCTTTTTTCAACATTCATATCAAAATGTATATCTATTTGGGCAGACAAAGAGAAATTAGGTAGCGATGATGGCTTCACTTTAAACATATTCCGATTATAATGGTGACATTAGTGGCTCATTTACACATGCGGCTGGAAACCGCAGCATTTATTTTTTTAAGTGTGAATGACTAGCAAGTGGGGATGAAAGCGTGGCTGCACGCAGAAGCTTCCTTCGCACACTTGTTATTTGTGCATTGTAAGATATAGAAACGTTAAGCGTATTATAAATGTATGTCCGTAATAATGAAAAAAGCACCATGATTTACTGTGTTATACATGTATGTTAACAAGCCTTCAGGGATTGAATGTACTTGTATACTGATACTGTCTGTTTTCCTCTCTTTCTACACCCCGTTCAGACCAAACACATCCATCGTTTGTTCAGGAAGAGGATCTTGTGTGTGCGGAAATTGCATCTGTTTCCCAAGACCGGTGAGTATGACATGGGCCAACACAAATTCCATGTCAAATTCCATCCCAACTTTATTCTGTGTGCAGTTTATAATACTTTTTTTTCATCATTACTATGTAGAAAGGTACTCTGATCTACAAATCTTTGTGCTTTGTATTAAATACTGTAAAGTCACAAACTTTTGTGACATTAAACTTTCACGAACTATAAACACCACAATTTTTTTCGCTTGAAACTTGGATGAGTTGCAAACACATTGTGTTGTTCAAGTTTTGATTTAGTAATTTTGCAGCGTGTGAATTCTTCATTTGTTTGGAGAATGGATATTGTATTTAATGCCTCACTGTTGACAATAAAAGTCCATTTTGCAGAACCGGTATTTGACTTTTGACTTAACTTCAAATGTATTGCACATTCCACGATTATATAATCATTACAAATGGGGCATCGTTGTAAAGGGAAATAAACAGGCCTTTCGGTAATACCAATGTCTTATTGTTTAAACATATTTGTGGCCTACACATAAAGATCAATTGATTCATCTGTAATTGAAAACAAGTCAGAAAAAAAATCTTGGAACCAGCAGGATTTGAAGAGAGATATTAACGCTCAAACTTGAATTGCAGAACTTTTTTTATGATTTTATATTTTCGTTGCCCTTCTTTCCTTTTTACAGAACCCCAGTGAAGTTGTTTCTGGCACTTTCTGTGAATGTGATAACTTCAACTGTGATAGGTACCTAGGAGAGCTTTGTGGTGGTGAGTTCAGCAGCTTAGGAAATCTGAATTTATCAAGGATTTAGCTGGTTTTCAATTGAATTGAGCTGGTCATACTGGAATGAAATTTATTGAATTGAATTGAACTGAACCATACTGACCTGAATTGAAAAGATGAATTGAATTGAATTGAAATGAAATGAATTGAATTGAACCATACTGACGTGAATTTAAAAAAAAATGAATTAATTTGTACTGAATCGAATAGAACTGAATCAATTTGAATTGAATTGAATTGAACTGAACTGAGTTGGGTTGAATTGATTTTAATAGAATTGAATTGAATTGAACCGAGTTAAAATGAACTGAACTGAATTGAATTGAATTGAACTGAATTTCCCCCTCAACATGTGCTTGACATACAGGTTCTGATAGAGGGCAGTGTGTATGCGACGAGTACACGAGGAGAAGTCAGTGCCGGTGCAGGTCGGGGTACAGCGGGGACGCCTGCGAATGTTCTACTCGGGTGGATACCTGTATGACAGGAGATGTAAGAAAATGAAGAGAGAAAGAGAATGAGAATGATTTTTTGGTGAAATTGTTGCTTTAAAAAATAAAGTTACATTTGCCAGCGTTAATGACATGAAACGATCTTGGTTTGAATTCTTTTTACTTCCAATAATAATGATCTATACATTTTATTTTATCAGACAAATCGTCCTTATTTTCACGAAGTGACGGTGATGAGGAAAATTGCATACAATTTGCTTGACGATTTTCCTCACTACCATCACTTCGTGAAAATAGGGCGAAATGAGGCATGCTTTTATTCATTTATTAAATGAATCTATATCCTTTGTTGAGACTGCAGCTAGATAGATGCAAAAAAGCCTCACCACGAGTGTGGATAGATCGTATAATCCACTCATTGGCATGTATCATTTGTATAATGATATCTCTTTCTCTTTTTCTTTCACAGACCATATGTAATGGGGAAGGTGTGTGCATCTGTGGGGAGTGTAAATGTAACGCTGGCTCCTCCTATAGGGGAGCACTATGCCAAGACTGTCCGGTAAGTTCCCATTTTCCTTCTTGTTCTTTTTTAAATGTAACTAATTGTAGAGATTTTATTTTTACACACCCTGTACCTTATTAACCCCTTCCTGCATACTGAATTTCCATTTTTTTTTAAAAATAAATATAAGATCATTGTAGGGCTGTTATTGTTTGACATACCCTAGACTTAAAGGTAATACAAAGTTGTGGTATGCGATCCTACAATATTCAGTGATCGTCGTGGTTGAAATCGAGTCTAAAGTTATGAAATCGTAAATAATAAACTCTTTATGTTGTATAGCTCCCTCTCAACGTCAAAATATTAACTAAGCTATAAAACAATGTTTCAAAACTAAAATCGACCAATTAGCTATTCCCGTTTGGAAATTATATATCACAACTACATATTCTGAGATTTTCATGGATGCAGCTACATGTACCATTGTACGGCCGTAGGCGCTATTCGAAAGTTATCAAAATTTACGTGTTTTAGGGGCTAAATTTTCTGGTGCTTATTATACATCCACAGGGGCATCCAAATATATCAAAATTGTCAAGAATCACTATCCGCCCAATTTTTGAAAATTCCTAAAACTTTGTATTACTTTTTTTAAAGTAACCACTCCTTTCCGTACTGGATTTCCATGCTTATAAGCCATCTAGGGGATAGCACATGGACAAATGACCCTCTTATATCCACAGATCCTTTAGAAATGGATTAGTCCCATTTTGTGCATTTTAAAATAATCACTGCCAAAGTGATGGAGGTGCTTCATGAACACTGTTTGCTTGCCCTCCTGAAAAGAATACTGCCACCAGGGGAGTGTTTCACAAAGACTAAGATCGACTGTAAGTTGGTCTTAAAGATAAACTTTAGTACTGGTAATGCGATTGCATTGTGAAAGAAAAGGTGTGGAAAGGATCAGAAACAGTTGATCATGTAGCATGTAAGTATTGGTGTGTACTGCAAGGTTCTGGAGTCATCAAAATCATAATAAATTTGACCGAGTCTTGGTAAAGTAACAAGCACTGTACACAGAAAGCTATATATGGGACAACACACATGGTGTCGGGGCTAGTACTACCTTGATTTCCTTGTCTTTCTATGCTCATTACTCAGCCAGTATACATGTACATTTTCTACCAAAACTGTTTGGCACATGTCATTTATTTGTAATCTTGAACATTCAGTGTAAGTTTCGTTTGATTCTGTGAGAATTCATTTTCTTTTTTTTACCAGAACTGGAGTTTATCTTTAACTATCAGCGTGTTTCTATCTAAAGCCATTATCTGGTTAATGGCCGATAAGGGATAAATTTTTCATAATAGAAACACACATTCTCCGGCATTATCCAGATAATGCCGGGGAGAGCTTTTACGCGTTCACCGGCAAAATTATCCTTCTTTTAGAAGGATAATGCAGGGGAAGCTAACTGGATAACGTAGGTAGAAACACTGATTGTGTTCACATACCGGGGAGAAACCGAAATAGGAGTGATCACGTGATCGGAATATTTTACCCCGACGCGCGCGACACTTCAATCCCGGGTTGACCTAGCAGTCCCACAATACTTTGCGGTGACCTAAAATTGGCCAGAGTCCGATTAACTTTTTCACGGCCTTTTTTCTGGCTAGATCGGAATGCGCTAGATAGAAAGTGCCCTTACCTGGCATTATACGCTTATTTCTTCAACCGGATAAATTCAGTATAACTAATAGGAACACGCTGTATGACAGGCCTTTCATGCAACTGGTTGCCCTCACTGTTGGTCTCTCAATTATGATCTTTAGATTATATTTTTTCCTTCAATAATGAACTATCAAAAAATGTAGATTTGTGACCGCAATTTATACGTCCCTTCAGAGACCAATGTCAGTAAATGGTTGGAGCGAACATTGGCATGAACTGCTTGCCATATTTAAGTCCAACTTAAAGTCGATCTTACTCTTTGTGAAACACTCCCCTGATGTCATAGAATGTACCGCCGGCGCATAAATAAGGATTCCATTAACTTCTTGAACATGTATACAGCTGTCTCGGTGGGTTTCGCAATTTGGTACAGACGTCCTTTACCTCCCATGCACAGATAGTATCTCTGAAGTGGCTTATTGATAAAGACACTATGAATATGACGGACAAAGAAAGAGGACAAAATAAACAGTTCCTCAGGTAGACAAAGGAACATCCCTTCACTGCTATTATGTAAAAATGTGTAGAACAGGTGAATGCATATGACACCTGTTCTACACATTTTTTACATAATAGCAGTGAAGGGATGTTCCTTTGTCTACCTGAGGAACTGTATATTTTGTCCGCTTTCTTTGTCTGTCATGTTCATATTGAGAATAATTGTAGGGCTTGTATTTTTGACACACTGAATACGCTACCATGTGTGTTTCATTTTTGAAAGTACATACATATATATCACATAAAGCTTAGAAAATCATTTGAAGCATGATTATAAGTACATGTGTATGATTGATAGCAATGACATATCTGTAAAGTTGTTCTTACATATAGCTATGATAATACAGTGTACATGTATGTATATTTATTATTTAGCAGATAGAATTGTTACATTTACTTAAGTAAGCAAGTAAGCAAGAAAATAAGTAAATATGTTCAGTAAGTAAGTTAGTAGGTGAGTAAGTGAATAGGAAAGCAAGCAAGTAAGTGAGTAAGTAAGTAGGTAAGTGTGTGAGTAAGTGAGTAAGTGAGTAAGTAAGTAGGTAAGTAAGTTAGTAGGTACGTGTACATGTGTGATTAAGTAAGTGATTGAGTAAGTGAGTAAGTGAGCAAGCAAGTAAGTGAGTAAGTAAGTAGGTAAGTGTGTGAGTAAGTGAGTAAGTGAGTAAGTAGGTAGGTAAGTAAGTTAGTAGGTACGTGTACATGTGTGAGTAAGTAAGTGAATGAGTAAGTGAGTAAGTGAGTAAGTAAGTGAGTAAGTAAGTAGGTAAGTGTGTGAGTAAGTGAGTAAGTGAGTAAGTAAGTAGGTAAGTAAGTTAGTAGGTACGTGTACATGTGTGAGTAAGTAAGTGAATGAGTAAGTGAGTAAGTGAGTAAGTAAGTGAGTAAGTAAGTAGGTAAGCATGTGAGTAAGCAAGTAGGTAAGTGAGTGAGTAAGTGAATAAGAAAGCAAACAAGTATTAAGTGAGTAAATGAATACGTAAGCAAGCAAGTAAGTGATTAGGTAAGAAGGTAAGTTTATGAGTCAGTAAGCAAGCAAGTACGCAAGTAGGTAAGTAAGGAAGTGAATAAGCAAGTAAGCAAGCAAGTAAATAAATGCGTTGAGTAAGTACTGTAAGTAAGATGGTATTTGATTAAGAAAGTGAATAAGTAAGCAAGCAAGCAAGTGAGTAGGTAAGTGAGTGAGTAAGTAAGCAAGCACATAAGTGAGTAAGTAAGTAAATAAGTAAGTAAAATGCTTGTTTTACCTGTATTTTCTGGTCAATGTTTTATCCATCGATCCATAGACTTGTAGCGGTCAGTGTTCTAGGAACGAGGAGTGCGTCCAGTGCAAGGCTTTTGGTACCGGACTGTCCAAGGCAGATTGTGACAAGTGTCCTTTCCCGGTCATCATGGTCGATAACCTAGAGATTCGTAAGTAAAGGACAATCAAACGAGCTGTTAAATTCATGTAAAACCACAACCCCCGACAATTATATACTTATGAATACCGGTAGTTGTCTTGATATTTTTGTGAGTTATTAACTCATTAACTGAGTATCGCACTTGTCATAAGTAAGAAATATCTTGGGGAGAATTGAATTAAAATATTAAATTGCAGCGCCCAATTAAGATCAGTGTGGTCTCAAACTGCACTGCATGATCTGTCGACGGTATACTATAGTGTATAGATGCCATGGGCGACGTGCAGTGAGGATTACTTTATTGATTTCCACAAGCAACATTACTTGCTTGAAAATATATGTGCTTGTTCTTAAAGTCACGATCAATGAGCGATTCACAAAATTTGCGAAAATAACACCCATTCCCCTCCCCCGCGTGAAAATAACTGCTTACGGTTTACAGTTTTAATAAATCTATAAATCTACAAATCTAATCACTCTACATGCATCAAACCTGTTTATATAGATAGGCTGCTTATCATTTCATGATGTTACAGACTTCTAACAGAAATTGTTAATTGGAAAAAGAACGAATGTACCGGTAGACAGATTCCTCTTTTTACTTGCTTTCTATTTTATCTATTTTGTAGTTTGGTTTTTGTTTGTGATTCTAAACTTTTAATTTATTGTGTACCGGTACATAAATTGAACTGTTGTTTGAAATATTCAACCTTTAGGGATTTTAGTATTCAGTTTTCTTTTTTGGAATTACTGACTACATCTAGCGCCAAATGGTAACACAACACAAGTGGACATGGTGTGCGTAGAAAATCCCTTTTTTGTTGTTTCTTGTACGTCTATACTTTGTAAGGCTCTGAATCACAATTTGTTTGAATGAGAGCATGAAGTGTGGAATAATGTTCCATTTTGTTTGTGCCTTTACAGCCACTGGTTCAGAGAGGTGCCTTGCAGAAGACGAAGACGATTGTTCCATTATCTTTACCTATGCAAAGTCAGCCAACGGCTCCCTCATCTTATATGTGCAGAAAGAAAAAGGTAAGAAAAGGGCCTTTTATTTATTCTCGATGAAGTATTGTTTGTTATTTGTCCGGAGAGGAGAGGGAAGGGGAGGTCAAAGGTTATTAAAGCTACATAGTAATCGGTGTCCATGTGTATTGCATCATCATTTATAGACACCAAATTTGGTTGAATTACCGATTAAAGGCATCGTTTAAAAATGTTAAATCTGAGATGCAAGGCTCTACGTGTTATCAGTGTCTGTGATATGGTGTTATGTTGAAGCCCGAGGAAAATTGCACTACAAAATGATCATGAAGTGCCTCAAAAAAGCTATAATCTTTGAGTGACCAGTTTTACCATACTCATTTCCCCCAATAGACTGTAGTGTTTTAAACGGTTTTTGAATTTTTCGATTTCCAATCATAAATATCTTGATAATAATCTTGGCTTGTAAAAGTCATGGGGCTGCTGACTGACCTAAATTTATAATTATGATTGCAGCATGAGCATCCAGGATTTCGTTTAGAATCTGAGGCAAAGATACCCAATCCCTTTAAAGCAAACTTGAACTATTTAATTAATCTCATCCCTCATTCAATTATTGTCCTGCTTGTTCTATTCTATGATTCATTGCAAACACCTGCCTCGAACCCCAAAATTTTCATGGACCTAGCTATGATTATATTGTACTTGTACAAAAGCGTGCATTGCTCTACTTTTCTGTGAAATAAAGAAATGATTACAGCACCCATAAGTCAACAAAATTCAAATGATCTTTAATGATTGTTTTTCGACAGTATGCTTTGAACCAGTGGACATCATGCATGTCATCATCGGTATCGTCGTTGGTATCATCATCGTGGGATTGGCCCTCCTCCTCGTTTGGAGGTTGCTCGTCTATGTTCAAGACAGCAGAGAATTTGCATCATTTGAGAAAGAAAGAGCAGGAACGCATTGGGGACAGGTAAGTGAATTTCTCCCTCTCTCCCTCACTTTCTCTATTTGTCTGCCTGTCTGTCTGCCCCCCCCCCCCCCTCTCCTTCTCTCTCTCTCCTCTCCCTTCTCTTCTCTTTGTCTCTCTCTCTCTCTCTCTCTCTCTCTCTCTCTCTCTCTCTTTCTCTCTCTCTCTTTCTCTCTCTTCTCTCTTTCTCTCTCTCTCTCTCTCTTCTCTCTCTCTCTTTCTCTCTCTCTTTTCTCTCTTTTTCTCTCTTTTTCTCTCTTTTTCTCTCTATTTTTCTTTTTATCTCCCTTTTTGCGGTCACATGCTGCGGGCGTGTCTCCCTCATGACTGTCATCACTTATACTCCACCTCAAATTTCAATTGTCTCTTTCCCCAAAACATTTCTCTGCGATATATTTATATATATATTTTTTTTTTTTCTTCTTTCTCTCCAGAATGAAAATCCGATTTACAAGCCATCAACTTCGACGTTCAAGAACCCCACATACCAGAAATGAGACCGGATTAATGGTGCCAGATTTTTTCTGTTCTTTTTCTCTTGTCTACATATTTTTTGTTGCATTCAAAGACATAGAATCCTGCATATTCTGTTTGAAAGCAGCGATTTATGAAGCTCTGTTCATACATGATGGGGTGAAGTACGTCCGTCAAAAACCTTCATTAGCAAAAAAAAAAAAAATAAATAAAGTGGGGCAAGGTGTTTACAAACTCGCTTCACGTTTGTGCATCTAATAACAAAAAGGTTATTGCACTTTAATAGTGGCTTATTGCATGCAGCACACACTTTTTAAAAATAATAGTAATAATGATGATGATGATGAAGATGATGATGATGATGATGATGATGATGAAGATGATGATAATAATGTTTTCTTATATATCGTTTTACCATTAGCTGACCAAAGTGTTTACCGTCTTATTATTACCCCAGTCACTGAATTTAAGTACTCCTCTGCTAATTGCAGTGAACATTCTCCACTCCCTGGGGAGCATTCCAGCTAGTCGCATCCTACCAGGTTCCCAATTAACACCTGGGCTAGGTGGAAAGGAGCAATGTAAATGAAGAACATTTTTTCACACCCACTTGCCTTCGATTAAACATGAAGTGGTTTGAATTTAGATGCAGTAGTTTTTTGAGGTGGTTTACTACATCATGGATGAATAAGGCCTTCAGTGTATAGCTGAGTTCTGGGCCCCATTTCACAAAACCTTATTACAATGACAAATAAAAAAAAAATCAGTGACAAATCTGCTGATAACCAATCAGAAGCAAGGATTTCACTAGCTTATAACAAAAACTGTCATTTGTCACTGATGACAAGTTTTGTGAAATGGGGCCCTGGTCAGGTGATTTCATTGCGAAAGAAACCGTGTGGAAGTAATTGAGGTTGATAATTTAGCACATTTTTTGTGAGTAATGTGAGATTTAATATCATTAAATTGACTAGAAAGTGACACCGCCTTGCTGAAAGTCACATGAGCCGCACTCAGAAATGTGTATATGGGACTACACAAACCTATGGCATGAAAGTTTGGTCCAAACACTCAAGCTTTGTCTTGTCATATTTGGAATATGAGGGCATTTCAAGAGCCAACCTTATCGTGGGACGTTTTTATCAATTTTCAGAGGACATATTTTTTATGATATTCTTCCACCCTGACATAAAAAAAGTATTTTTGGAAAAGCTCACAAATCACTTTTCACCTTCCCCAGAATTCAACCTTCCCTTTATTCAAAGAAACCTGAAGGGACCTTGTTAACCTGTTAGGAATGGCTTCGTTCATCAATGCACTTCAAAATGATTGTCATTCTGTGTTTTCGTGGTTGGGTTTATCGGTGGTTACTTTATCTAGAATAAGCAAAATAATTTTGGGGTAAATTTGTTCAAAACAGTAGGAAAATTATTGATTGAAATGACAGAATTATGTATGAAGCCCATGATTTTATGTATTGTTTCTGTATACATGTGTATATATGTTTGCTATGTCATTGTCTTGTCTTTGTGTAGCTTTAGATTCTGTTCAAGATTTCAGATTATAAATGTGACGCTTTCTGTGATGCGTTTGAATCTGGGACGAGTTTAAATCTGACCAAAACGTTGTTTTGGTCCTCAAGTTAATTGAATCAACTCTATTTCAGAAACTGTACGGTGTCAATACACACTGTACCATGAATTGTTAGGAGTAAAAACACACTTGGTCCAAAGTTGTGTGGTGTTAATGCACGTTGTGCCAAAAATGTTGTGTGCATGCACAGTATGTCAAAGGTTATACTGTGCGAACACACTTTGTCAGATCTTACATATACAGTTGTACACTGTATAAGTTACACTATGCCGAATGTTATGTATATTGGCTTGAATGCACTCTAAATGTACATGTATACCAAAAGTTTTGCGGTGCAAATGAACACATGTATGGCTGTAATTATAAGGGTGAATGCACTCTTTGTGAGAAGGTACATTACATGTATATGGTGTTAACCCATAAGCGGTTCTGAGTTTTATCATTTTTTTCTAAATTAATCAGTTTCCCCTTCCTCAAATTGGCAACATTTCATCAAATTTACCGTTCCTTCATAGTTTGAAGATGTAAAACTGTTTAATTAAATGAACCAGTGGGAAACAAATCTGCAAAATATAACTGCAAAACTTAGTTCATGAAAATCATGATTTCACACCGTGTTGCCAATTAAGAGATGCTAATGATTACAGTAGTTAAAATTAAATTGCTCTCATTTGAGAAAGGTATAATGTACTGCATTGGAAAAAGACTCAAACTTTTCTGTGATTTTTTGTCTTTCTGCTCATGTATATTGTGTAATCCCCACAATTTTGGATCACATGTAGGATAAAAATGAAGAAAAAAAAATCACTAGAAGGAGTCAGTGTACTGCTAAGGGTTAATACACACAATGCCAAAACTTAGGTGGTGTGAAAACTGTGTAGGAATACAATGTCAGTTTTGAATGGTGTGACCGCACCTAATGCCAGAAGTGATATGTACATGTATGTAAGTGGTGTGGCACCAATCATTTTGCTTAGTGTTTGTATGAAATTACAACTCTTATAATTTGTGAAGCGTCAACTTGTGTGTATATATATCTTAGAGAAATATGGATGAACAAATCTTGTAGCGACTTGCTATTTTAACCAATACATGTAGTTTTGAACTGTTAATTTATATGATTAGTTGTACATGAAAAGTATGTGTGTATGATTGTCAAAGAAATCTAGCCTATCTCTGTAAAAATTGCACATGGCGGACAAAAAGAAATTGAACCAAAGTGGTATAGCGTAGGACCAAAATGCCAAGCATGTACTTTATTTTTCCTTTTAAATGGCGTTTGTTTCTTTCATATTTTCCCTGTATATCTTCCCGAAAATGTTTCTGAAATTTGAACAGACAGCTTCAGTTTTTTTTTCATCAGAATTTTCTTTCACCTATCCATTTAGCTAGAGATGTATGTGGATAAATCAAGAATGGAACCTATGGTCTGTTTAGAGCTATAAGGGCTTTAACTCCGGAGGTAATACCCTTCTGGCGCTTAGCCGATCATACAACCTTTCACCAAACTTGTTTCTCTCACTATGTGACATCACAATAGGCAGAGATTCAACTAGAAACATAGCGGAAGGATTGAGATATATTCTGATATGTTCAGACAACATCGCCTGCTTTCAGTTGCATACATTTCTTAGTTTAAATAGAAGGAAAACATTCAATGTATCTAAATATGTAGTGTGTGGAAAATTTTGAAACAGTGTGCCTAGTTTTATATCGAACTTGCCTATTTCCTTTTCAGTGTAGCACCAGATGGGTAAATCAGTACGTCGCTTAAATTCATTTTGTATCATTTTTTTGGTAGCATTCTTTAACAGTTTTAGCTTACTGTTGCGCTAGTATAACATGTGATGTATGATATTTGTATTTCATGCATCTATTTGTAGTATTTTTTTGCTGATCAGGCAATTTCTTTGGTGAGAAAAATACCAAGGAAGCTAGTGACAACAAGATACTGGTATTTAACCTTCCTGGCACATTGCTTATTGTAAGTTTGAGAGGAGTGGACTAGAATTAATTTTCCCAGCATAAACGTCTTGTTGACATCTTGTAAAGAAATATATAGGTGTGAAGTAGATAATTCACACCTTTTGGATTTTTTAAAAATTTGAATAGCTGTACATAACCAGTTGTAGAAAACAGACCATAATTTATATGTGTAGCAATAGAGCTATGTGTACAATTTCTTGTCTGACTTTGAATGTTAAACAATTTTGTAGCATATTCCAAAGCAATGTGAAACAGAAGAGATTTAGGGAATCCACAGAGAGAATCTATTTTTAATCATGTAACATTAATGATATTTGCAATGAATGTAATCTTTAAATTTTGCTCCAAGGGTAGTATTTTAAAGCTTATGGCAAGTGCCAAAGAAGCATTAACTTATGGATAGCAATGTCGGTATTTATTAGGCTATTTTGATTGATTTCCAGTTTTTTGGCGTTTTTAAAATTCACTTACAAGGAGTAAAAATTGTTGTTACCATACCATAATATATGGGACTTAATTTCCATATAGAAGATAATTCTCAATTTCCTACCACAAAATACTTCTTTGTAGTGGCTATGCATCTAATCTGGATATTGTTAATCTGTATATGCTATTTTTCAATCATTTTTTGTGGAATGGGGGGATTTTTGTCAGTTTTATAAGTGTATAGGTATGTATGTATAGGTGTGAATAGTAACGGTAACTACATACAATGTATTGTTATTATTGATTAATATGCAATCGGTATAAAAAACGGCTAGAATATTATACAGGTTCTTCCAATCGTTAATGAGTTTTAGAACAGACAAAATATATAGAATAATAGTTTCTACATGAAAGATTTGGTATATTGTATTTCTATTGAAAACATATTGATGCTAAAATTGACTTAGATATCTGAATGCAAATGTGATATCTGCAATAATGCAAATATTTTATACCGGAGTTTTAAAAAAATATCATATTTTCTTAAGAATGGTATACTAGATTTGTAAAATAATGCATGGAGCTGGCATTTCTAAGCAATAAACATACTTGTATGATTGATAATTGGTGCAGTTGATAATGTGTTCAACAACAAACAAGAACAATTCAATTCTATGCAATCTTTAAACAGTATCATTTAATATATTAATGCACGTTAATAAACAATGGTATTGTTGTGTTAAAGCTTGTTCGGATATGGAGTGGTAAACCGCCGCACATAAAAGGGCACTTTTTTTATTTCAACGTTTAAATGGAAAACAACTGCGTGCATGAAAGGCCCTGCATGGATTCACTGAGCTCAGTGTCATTAGATTCAGAAACGTGATGCATATTACGCTTTATGGCGTCATAACAAAAAATGCTGAAGCTTTGCCATGTCATACGTGAACGAACGTAATGGCCCGTATACACAAAGCAAGGTTTGAGCTCAAACCTCCTTTTGTTTCGCCAAACCTCCATTTGTTCTTTACAAACCAGGTTTGTAAAAAACACATAAAACGCGTCATATGACGTACGAAAACCAAGGTTTGTCGACAAACCTCCTTTGTGAATTCGGGCCTATGAGTTTCTTCTGTTTCCATGAATGTGACTTGATGAAACTGCATTTTTCTCACAAATTCTTGTTATTATGCAGAAGCCGGTTTAGTAGGGATTGTAAAACAACAACAAAATACCAGTGAAAAGAGTTAATGTATAATTAGTTCTATACAAGGGCATACATATACATGCATTTGTGCGCTGGGCGCATCACTTGTCAATATACTGTAAAATGGAAAGCTCTTAGAATCTGCTAGTTTTGCTCCCTTTTTTTTTCCTTACTTCATCTGTTAGCATCAAACTTATAAGAATTACAGCAGTTAAATAAATTATTTACATTGATGACATAAGCAGGTAAAATGCATAAATGATGTTAGTAAAATTTGAATTCAACCGTTCAAAAAATTCCAATGATTACATACAATTAATCACTACTGAAATACATGTTTGTGAATATGACAGTAGATAATCATTATGTGGCTATTAAAATTGCCCATTATGAGTCTTTGTTTAAAAGTGTTAGTGACTGTATATTTTGACAGGCTGTGAGATAAATGGAAATCCATGTGATGAAGAGTTGATTGTTACTTTTGAAAATATCACATATCTGTCAACTGTGTGTGATTCTTATCTCATTTGTTCGGAGCAGGAAGGACACGACATGTACGTCATATACATGCATATCCATTGTACACGAGAGTTTACACCCTCCTGGTTCCAAACAGAACTGTTCTTATCACGTAAATAGAAATCAATTATCAGAAAATCTTGCTTCTAACTTGGTCTTTGAAAAAAAGCTTAGGCTAATGTTTTTTGTGTTATACTTTTTGAGTAGTCATTCCTGTTAAGTTTCCATTCAAACTGTGATGAAATTTAGAATGGATAATCTTTCCATCATTACAAATAGACCTTAAGCACAAGATAAGAACTTTCTTTAACTTGGTCTTTGAAGAAAGCTTAGGCTAATGTTTTTTGTGTTATACTTTTTGAGTAGTCATTCCTGTTAAGTTTCCATTCAAACTGTGATGAAATTTAGAATGGATAATCTTTCCATCATTACAAATAGGCCTAGACGTTGAAACAAGATAAGAACCTCCATTGTTTTCTTGTTTGTCATACTTCAGACCTGTATCTATAGAATCAGTGTTATAACATTTTACTCAAGAATCATTTGCCCACATTCAATAACAGTTTAAAAATGCACAGATAAGATACTGTAGATAATGCTATGGTCACAAAGGTTTGTACGAGTGATAATTTCGTACGAATCTCCCTGTTTTTCCATTGTCTTCCCGAATTTCTATTGTCTGAAAATCATTCGTACGGCGTTCGTAGCAGTTCGTAATGGCATTTGTGACCGAGGCTTAAGTAAGCTCTGACTTTAAAGATAAATTCATGTTAAGTAAACATGTAACCAAGTCTTGTTGTGTGACCAAATTGAAAATTCTACTTTTTTCTTCGCAAAAATAAAGTGAATCCTATAAAAATTATCTCAAAGACTTTCAAAATCAACCAAGGGTAATTTAAATAGCCTGTTAATCCCCTACCGATACGTGCAAACATAACAATGGTATATTGTGTAATCCAACATGACTTCAAGGGGAGATTCCATAAGCTATCATTGCCCTTGCATTTTTTTTTCGTCAAACTCTGTGCAGTTGTGTTCACATTAAGTGAAGAACATTTGATTGTCTGTTTAAACCATTATGGTGCTATATGAAACTTTCCCTTGACCAATATATCTCCTAAGGTTATTTTTGGTTTTAAATACTTGTAGATTTTTATAAGATATTTAAATGCATGATGTGTATTTCTTCTGCGGTAAATTATACATTTGACTTTCCATGCTCCTGTCTGTCATGTAATCATAGTGATTTCATTTTTACCATTCCAGTTTTTAGTTTTTCGAATGTAATAATTATGGATACAATATATTATGTATAAGAACTGATTTTGGTAAAGAGAATTATGATAATAAAAGTTGCCTTTTTTGGTAGAAACAGAAATATTGTAACGTGTTCTTTTTCGCGTTGTTATGAAAATCATAGTATTACGTTGGTGACGAATTGACTGTTGTGATAATAAACTTTCTCATATACAATTCTGAATATTTTCATAGCTCTTTTAGATCCGTGTTTGTGAAAAATCTCGATGATATACAATGAATACAATGGACATTACCTGTTTTTCAAATCTCCCGTGCCCCCCCCCCCAAAAAAAAAAAATGTATTTGTTTTGTTTTATTTCCACTTGTTCATATCAATACAAAGAAACATCATACAAATAAATATAATGAATAACATGTAAGTTTGACAAAAATATGTTTCTAGTTAGAATACAAGCAAAAAGAAATATATTGATTGGTGCCAAACCATCATGAAAACATAATCTGCATAAAAATAAGAAATAAGGGGGAGAATGGATATCTTATGTATGTTTAGCAAGTTTCTTACAAAGGAAAAAGCAGGAGACCACATGTCGTAAGCGTAAATGCTTGATGATGACCGTGGCCTCGGCCGAGTTAGCAAATAAAAGAATACTTAAAGAAATGAAATAAAATCCCAAATTCCACCGAAGTTCGACCTCGAGATATTTTTGAATGGGATACTTGTACTTAGTAAATAAATAACCAAATTGAACAAATATTCCAACGTCATTGGGTTTTCTTATGTACACAATCCGCTTTTGACCATATCAAACAATGAGAATAATATCTGTTCTGTCAATGTTCTCAAAACCGCATTTTTAAACAATGGTTAAAAATGAATAATACCTATCACAAGGACGAAAATGTAATACCCTTTTGTGGCAGAGATTAGTACAAATATTAAAACGGTGTCATTACTAAAATTAAAAATTTCTTCCCAGAGCCCACCCTCCATATAATTATACTGTATTCGTGATGTACGAAAATGGATGAATGATTGCTATCTCAAACTAAATGACGATAAAACAGAATTTCTCTTGTTAGGCTCCATGACAACTTTCCAAGATTGTTATAACTCATATACGTGTTGGTTCTGTGCACATTGCTCCTTCAGATAAGGCAAGAAATCCTGGTGTTATTTTCAATACAAGCATGTCTCTTGATACACATATTTCAAAATGTGTGAAAGCTGCCAATTATCATCTTCGTAATCTTCGCGCTATAAGGAAATGTTTAACACCCCCAAACCACTCAACAATTGATTCATGCTTTTGTAACATCTCATCTCGATAACTGTAACTCTCTCCTTTATGGACTTCCTAAATACCAAATTCACAGACTACAAAAGGTTAAAAACGCAGCTGCCCGCCTTGTCAATAAATCTAAACGTTCGACCCATACTACTCAAATACTCAAGAACCTTCACTGGCTTCCAATAGAACAGCGTATCAAATATAAAAAAATTCTACTAATCACCTACCGTTCACTAAATGGATCAGTCCCTGAATATATTTCCTCTCTTCTTAATATCTCTTTAAGTTCTCGTGCAGGTCTTCGTTCCTCTAATTCAACAAATTTAACACAATTAAGAACAAAGATGAGTTGGGGAGACAGAGCTTTTACAGCTGCTTCACCCTGGTTGTGGAACTCTCTACCCCATCCTTCAAAATGTCAGCCAATCAAAATTTGTTCAAAAAAAAATTGAAAACCTATCTAATGTCTGAATTCCTTAGTTAAGACGTAGTGTATTTCACAATCTGATGTAACTAACGTTGTTGAATTATATTTAATTATGTTAAATTATTTTCGTTCGATGTACTTACCTTGTTAAGCGCCTTGAGCATCTCTTGGGGTGGATATGTGCGCATTATAAATGTTGTTATTATTATTATTATTACTGTACTCTTGTTCTATCCATTTTGAATTATGATATACTCGCATGGGGCCACTCTACTAAACAAAACCTCAATATATTTGTAAAGCGCTTAGGCACATCGTTGGATCGGTGTATTGAGCGCTATATAAAAAACGGATTATTATTATTATTATTAATAAACTCATACTACATACTACATATACTTCGAAAAAAGGCTAATGAGAATCATCTGCAACAAAAGCTCGATTTCTCACTCTAACACTGTCTATTATAATAATAAGGTCTTAAAAGTTGATGAATTATATTTGTATAATCTCGGTTGTTTTTAATGTACCATTTGGACAAAAATCTGTAACCAGAAAACATTTTGCAAATATTTATTTAAAAAATAATAAAGTACGTAAGTACCCCATTAGACAATCAGGGGGTGGTTCACTAACAGCTAAAATTAATCCCAAATAAGATACAATTGCTCTTAGGCTCAATATCACTCCTAAGAGCAATGTCGCTTTTAGGAACTGATTCACTACAGCATTTGGGATTAATTCTATCATTAAAATCGCTATAAAGGCTAAGCGTGATCCGGATCGCTATTATAGCATTGCCTTTTGTTTCAAAAAGCTTCTTATGTTATGCAATAAAAGGGCATAATAAATGAACGACTGTTGTTGTTTGGTCAGACAAAGCTTAACAGACTATTCAAAAGAACATTGATCAACCTGATATACTTCATATCTATTTCATGCCAGTTAATGGATATATTCTACTCTGATTTCATAGTTTAATCAAAATGGCAGCTCCTACAAGAAAATGGCAAGAAAGCAAAGTGCACGTTTGGAGGGATCTTTTTTCCTTTCTAAGTAATCAAATAAAAGTAATTTAGAGATAGTTTAAACTGGCTCATAATTTGTAATAAGACTATCATATAAAATGTTTAGGGTTTCATTCTCATTTAAAGACCAATTTCACACAAAATATATTTGGAGCTGAATAAAGAAATAACAAGGAAAACTATAAATCCAACCTTCTGAGATCTGGGTGACTTTAATAATCATAGTCTTCTCTATTTCTTTTTCCTTTCTCTTATCCGCCTTCACTATACACCCTCCATTCTTTATTATCTTGATTAAACATTTTCCCTTTACCTAACATTACTCTCGTTCAGTACATATATATATGCCTACATATATCTATATATTTGTTGGGGGGAGGAGGTGGGTAGTGGAGATGGAGGGGGGGGGGGGTCCAAGAGTAATCAAATTACCTACCTCTGTCGGCCAATACTAAAAGTTAGAGAACATGTTTGTTTGTTCTTTCAAGTAAGAGTACGGTAAAATATGGCAAAATTATAAGACAGTTGCTTCGGGGCTGAACCACCAGAGATATTTGTTACAATTTACACGTAATATATTGTCATATTATGAACATTATGTCACATAAAAAGGTCACCAATCAGTTCTTACTTTGTTTCAAATCAGTCACAGAAGAGGCATATGGCTCCGAATATTCGCATGGGACAACGCCCCCTATCGTCAGAGTCAAGCAGCCTAACATGTTAGCCTATGGACTTTTACCCCCCAAAATCGTTAGAAAAGCACATCCACCCCGACGTACGTTGACACCAGCTCTTTCATTAGAACCCTCATGTCGTATTGACTTTTGAAAGTTTACCCACCGTAATTTGGTCAAAATAGGTCGCCAGCTCGCCATTGCCTATATAACACATGTGCAACAAGTCGAACTTTAGACGCAATTTGCCACTCGATTGTAAGATTATAAGTCAAGCACACAAAGGATAACAAACATGAATTATCATAGATCAGTTCAAACTGGTTTATTATGTCCATTTCAGCCATCCCTCCACCGTAATTTTTCCATTTAGTATAGGCAAGCATTTTGCCGAGGTAAGCAAATACATGAATATTCGTGAACGCCATGGACTATTCGATTATTTACAAAGGGTGCATTGTGCACCACATCAAACTCCCCTACTTTAAGTCAAGTATTTCATTGTACACTGTCGCTCATATAGTTTGAATATTTTTTTTTACCCCAATTTATGGAATTATTTTAAAAATAATTTAAAAATAATAAAATTAGATAATAGTATACATTCTCAGATTTTGTTGAATAACGATTTGCCAATGTGTGTTTTGCGTGACTGCTAAAGCACGTGTATGCTACTATGCTTATCAACTAGGGGACCTACGCCCTTAAGTCATAAATGACAGTAATGAGGATTAATGCCCCACAAAAGGGCACTAATATAGCACATCGACACGGTTTTGATCCTGGGGCCTCAAAGTTACGAGGCCATTGCTTTGTCACTGAACCGTGACTGTACGCAGCGGGGGCTACGGTAGGGGGCAGTTTCCAAAATTAAAAAAAAAAACAGAAAATGCAATAAATTTTCAATGATTTATACGGACATACATCTACGGACTTGATGGTCTTAATATTTTTGTAAATTTTCATGTAAGGAAGTTTTTTTTTGTGTGTTTCATCATAAATTTATCACAATTTCATTATGGAGGAAGGGTACACTATTGTGACTCGGGTAGGTATTTTTGTATCCCCACTTTTCCGGGGTATATGAACATGTTCTTGCAGAAATGCCATATCCCTTGAATTTGCCCCTTCTTTACCTAATGACTGACTACACCCATATGCATTGTCCTCAAAATTAATAAATGAAATAACAGGAAAGACCCTAATGGCAAATCATGCATTTAATGGCATTTTTTTAAAACTGTAAACGTGTGTGGCATTTCTTCTCCCTATCATTCCTAACTTGAATAAACATAATTCGAATACGAATGACAGGTTTTAATTTGAATGATAAAAATGACGCCTCGAAAAGTGATGATTAATTTTAATGCTAGTTGAGCAGTTTCTAAATTAAATGACAGATCTATGAAACCCTTCGACCAAGATTCTAATTTAAATACCAAAACGGGAACATTGAATGATAATTGGCATGGCAAAGCCGATCTGCGCTAACTTAAATGCAAAGTAAATGAATCCGAATGACAAACTCGCGAATTTGGCCGGGAAATCCTAATATGTCCGTAATTAATAGCTGAAACATTCAATCACCTCTTCAAGAGAAATTCCTAGCATCAGGCAAATAGAGGGCGGGCTCATGAATAGCCACAACAGTACACTCTCTAAGGACAAAAAATAGATTTGATATTGAAATCAAG